TTGGATAGAAATTAACTTCTTGCGAACCAGGGACATAAAGAAATAGGTCCAAGTGGTTTTGGGGAGTTAGGATGACCAGGCCCATTTTAGGGGTTCTAACAGAAGATCCCCAGACCCGATGTGGCCCTACCAGTAGCAGCAAGGTTTCCTGTGGGGTGACTGATCTCCACTGGAGAATTTTAGCAGATGGGGTGCGGCAGGGTAAATCATAAGGGCATGAACCCGAGTCCAAAGAGATTCAGCCTTGTTTAGTAATTGGGAGCAAAGTCTGAGACAGATCACTCATTGGCTGCAGGAACTCGGGCAAGTTCAGATTCGTCATCATCCTTGGTAGGATGCATTACATCTGTCTAGTTAGTTTGTAGTGAGGACAGGAGGAACTGTGCAGGGAACTGAACTGAATGAACTTGCTTGGCAAGAACTTGCTTAACCCACTGTGAGTTGCAACAATTGTGACTGTTTTAAGGGGTTGTCATTTCCCCCTTCTGTTGAGATAGTCCTGACTTCAATTTATTTATTAATTGTTGTGATGATTGTTTTTCCCTCTTGGTGTACCTGAAATGCAAGTTTGAGGAAAAGAGCTCAACTGAATGTATTTAAGGGATGAGGATGGAAATCTGATAAACACACACACACACACACACACACACACACACACACACGATGTGCTGAAACTAGATAAAGGACCAAATATGATAGCCTCTCAGTAACTATTGCAAATCATAATGCCCAAAAGTAGAGAGAAACTACGAGGGAAATTGTCTGCCGTGGAGGTAGGGGGAGGGTTGGGGTGGGGGGAAGATACTGGGGACATTGGGGGTGGAAAATGTGCACTGGTGGAGGGATGGGAGTTCGATCATTGCGTGACTGAAACTCAGACATGAAAGCTTTGTAACTGTATCTCACAGTGATTCAATAAAAAAAAACTGTCAAATATTCATGTGAGCACCCACATTTGCACGAATACTTTTTTTCAGTTATTAGAATTTGTGGAAATTAAGGCAAATATTGAGGAGTAATTTAGATACTAAATAATTTTGTCAGCAATGAGGCAGGCGATGCAAATAGTTTTACTGGGCTGTAAAAGTGCCAACATTCCTGAAACAGTGAGCTCATCATCAAATTCTTTTCTACACCCATAAAAGAATCTTTTATTTGTTTACTCAGTTTTTGCTTTTGGTTTTCCTAACATCTGAGAACAAAATAGAGACATAGTTCTCAAACTTTATGAGCATCTCTGGAGTGCTTGTTAAAATAGAGACTTTGAATCTTAGCCCCTGAGCTCCTGAGTCACTCAGACAGGGCAAGGGTCTGAGAATTCACTTTCTAGTAAGTTCCTGCGAGGCTGACACTGCTGACGCAGAATCACTCTGTGTATCCGCAAATGTAGAATCCTGGGAGACCCTGAAGTGGTGTAGACCACAGGGTAATTTGGTTGTTAAAAATTTGGGTTCAAATTCTGGAGTTCTGTTTACTATATAATGTTAAGCAAATGAGTTTCTGAGATTGAATTTCAGATTTCAAATGAAAGTAAGAAAGTTGACCTCATTAATGTCATTATATAAGTTAAATCGGGTGCCTGCAAAGCCCTTTTTTCACTGCTTGGCTTGGATTAGTGTCAAAGAGTCTGGTAATAGGCTGGAGAAATAGTACTAGGGTTAAGACATGTACTCTGCAAGTTCAATTCTGGCACTGCTTATGGTCCCATGAGTACCACCAGGAGTAAGCCCTGAGCATACCTGAGTGTGTACCCCACCCCCCCGGATTACAATAAATAAACTTATTCATACTCTTTACTTAGGTATTTAGATTTCAGTATTTTTGTGCCATTTTAAAAGGTAGATGTGTGTGTGTTTATCTTTTTCCATTAAATAATGTTCCTTATCCCCTCCCCTTTAATTCACTGGGTAGTAAGCTACCCAATAGCATGGTAGCACTGTCCTCCCATTGTTCATCGATTTGCTTGAGCGGGCACCAGTAACATCTCCATTGTGAGACTTGTTACTGTTCTTGGCATATCAAGTACATCACAGAGAGCTTGCCAGGTTTTGCCACGTGGGCAGAATACTCTTGGTAGCTTGCCGGGTTCTCCGAGAGGGACGGAGGAATCGAACCCGAGTCAGCCGCGAGCAAGGCAAATGCCCCAGCTGCTGTGCTATTGCTCCATCCTAAGCTACCCAATAAATTGGGAATTTTATCTTTCTCTGCTAGGCACAATAGAAGTGTCTTTTTTGATATGTAGATAGTTTGGAGTAGTAAAAAAGGTCACAGCTAGAGTAGAAATGTTGAATTTTCAGAATTAAAGAACAATTAGATTCTGACTAGTAATTTGACTTGTATCCAGAGATGGTCATATAAATGCCTGAGAAACTCAGAATAGCACCTTATTTCTAAAGCACACGAAAGACTATGTGTAGGGAAAAGTTTGGTCAAAGGCATTTTAAAAAATCGTCCCAGGCCGGGTGGATTATACCACTTCAAGAAAAAGTAGGAATGAGAGGGAATGGCTATGACTGAAACATTTGTGTTCAGATTCTGTTATTTTGTTCTGTGGACTTGAGAAATGCTCCACCCCTGTTAAATCTTGCTGTCTTATATCTTAAGTGAGTGACCAGTGCTCATTTCTGAAGGCTGTGGTGCAGGTGATGATCTGTGAATGCAGAGTGCTTAGCGTAGTGCAGAAATGTTCTAACTGTGGTTCGTCTGCTAACGTGCCGGATACGGATATAGAGAGAAGATGAACATAGAAGTTCAAGGTTGAATAAAATGGAAATAAAGCCAATGGGTTTCATGAACCCAGAACATATTTATTAAACTTTGCACAGTTTTCAAAGATCATGTTGATGAAACCAATTTTATTTCAGTTTCCTACACAATTAAGCACATGCTTGACACAAGTTACACTTGTTGAAATTGTTTTTTAGAATTAAAACTTACTATTTTTTCAGTCAGATGTTATTTATTCATATTGGTTTGTGATACTATAAAATTTGGGAACACAGTTTCACACCTCTGTATGTGTCATATCACATCCATCCCCAAAGTCCCAGTGATATTTATTGCACAAATGTTCTTCCCATTCCTACCCACCACTCCCTCTTTCTCCCTAAACATCAACCATGTTTTTCAAATTAGAAGTTATTTGTTTGTTGTATTGTATTTGTGAAACTAGTTTGTATGCTTTAAGATGAAATGATGTTTGATTGTATTAAAATAACTAGATGAATAGGATCAATATAGATTAGATTAAGATCCAATCAATTTTCACTGTGTCAGAATAGTAATCTCCTGTCACTTTAATGAGAAAAGAGAGAATGTACTTTCTTGAAAGTATTAAATATTTTAGTAAACTCTAAATGTACTAGTTCATGTATTTATTTTTATGCTTTTTGGGGTCACACCCAACAATGTTCTGGATTACTTCCTGGCTCTGCATTCAGGAATTACTCCTGGCGGTGCTCGGGAGGACCACATGGGATGCTGGGAATCGAATTCAGGCGCGTGCAAGGCGCTACCCACTGTGCTATCGCTCCAGCCCATAAATGAACCAGTTTAATGCAAGACAGCAGACACAATATTCAGTAACAGATTAGGAAAATTATGACGAAAACTTGACTACTATAAAAAGAGATTTATTCAAAGAACTAGAGAAGACAATAAAGTATATATCTGGATTTTTCTCAAGTCTTTGTGACTTAAATGTCTTCAACATTTTTGAGATACCTTGTTTTTTTTCTATAAAAGATCAGTCAAGCTATCGGACATGTTTTTGTATTTATGTATTGAAAATGAATATTATAGAATTTTTTATTCTCATGCTGCTCCTGAAGATCTGTGTCAGAAGAGTTTTCAAAGGGGGAAATTTATCAACCAGTATGCACATCCATTAAACAAAGCTTACAGAACAAACAGCCCTAATGGGGCTTTCATTATGGACCCTTCAGTGTAGAGTTCCCTTAGGGCTTCGGTCAACATTAATGAAAACATCTTGAAGTCTATAAACACAATTATTTCTGCAGGAGATGAGTAAAGAGCTTTGAGTTCTCTCTTAAAGTCCAAGGGGATACAGAAACTTTACTTTTTGCTTACATGCAAATGGCACTTTTTAATTTTTATTATTGGGAAGCCAGTTGGGAGAAGGTGGCAAATGGCATAGCCACCTTATACAGCATAACACACTGGTCCACCTTCGGACAGAGATGGCCTTAGCTCTTGCCATCCTGCAAGATGACTCTCTTCTGCCTGGCTCTTTCCAGCCACTGTGACCCTTGGGGATCATTCAGAGGCATCACTGGCAGGCATGGTTGGCTGAGCAGTTGGTATTCTCTGCTTGTCCTCACTGGTCTCATTTCCTTGGTGGAAGGATATCCTGCTTCCTATCGTGTGCAATTCCATAGTGCGATGTGCAGTTCCTGGAGTCTGGGTGGGGTCGTTACGCTGGGAAATGCAGGAAGGGGCTTCCCTTTGGCTCCTCTGCATCCCTGTCTGCTCCAGGACTGAGGAGCCCACATCTAAGCTTTGGGAGGTGCTTCTCTGCAGCTACAGTAGGAAGTGGTGTCCTCTCTACTCTCTTTGGAGCCAGTGCCCGCTTCACGGTGCTCCTGGAGTTCTTCCTGCTCATTCTGGAGCTTCCATCATCATCCGTCCAGGAGCCACCCCAAACCAGGCGTGTGGAGATCACTGATGCCACGGGAAAACAATAATCTTCAGAGTCACTAGGATGAACCCAGTGATTGTCTCTAGAGAGTTAATGTTTGATAGTTCCAAATTTTACACCAGGGGGTGGGGTGAGGGTGGAATGACAGGCTTCATTATATATGTGGCAAATGTCATATTGCCTGCATGTCTAGGGCTAAGAGATGTACAGTTGAATGTTAGAAGGGATAGGAAGGATGCAAATTGTGAATTTGCATATATATTTCAGTGTGTATGTGGATATATGCATATGAATGTAAAAATATTATTTTAAAACAGTGGGACTATCAAATATTGCCTTTTAGCTTGGACTCCGAGGGACTATCAGAGATTATCCAGGCTTCAACCCATCTGTAGATGCTCAAGAAATTCATAAGGCAATCAAAGGACTTGGTGAGTGATGCTTCACAACTCCTTTCTGTTTGTTTTTCTTTGAGGGTGAGGGGTGGGGGGTTCATTTAGCTGTGCTCAGGGTTTGTTTATTCCTGGCTCTATGCTAGGGGGACAATATGCAGTGCCAGGGATTAAACATCGGTCATTATGTGCAAGGCAAGCAAGCTTCTTACCCTCTGTACTGTAATTCCTCTCTAAATGTTAAAGCAAACCAGGAAAATTATGATATTAAAGTGCATAGGTGCCTTCTTGTATAAAAGTACTGAGTTCAGTTGCAGAATCACATGTAGACACACACACACACACACACACACACTTCCACAAGTGTGTAGGTTCCTTTGGCCCAAGTTGGCTTACTCAAGTACAGAGCCAGGAGTAAGCCCCAAGCACGTGAGGTATGACCCAGAAACACACACCCCCAAATTGCAGTTCATGCCCCTAAAATGTTAATTTTATAGCTACAGAGGTATACACATATTTTTTTATGTTATCTCCCACAGGACAAAATGCATTACTATGTGCTTTTTTCTGCAATTGTTACTTATCCCTTATCATTACGCTTTTGAGATTTCTGTGTATTTAGTTCTAGTTCATTAATAAGTTTGGCCTCACAGTTGTCTTTTCATCATGATATAATAAAATGGAACTATGGGTAGATCATTAAAACTGTCTAAAAATTTTTTGATTACAATATGAAAATACTACATTAGGTATTTCTGCTTATGTCAGATTGTACACGTGTACTCTCTAGAACAAAGTGGAGTTTTTAGGCTAATGGGTATGTTTATTTCAAATTTACTGGTAATTTTACCAAACTGCTCTCAAGATCATATACACAAATTAGTATTCTTCCCAGTACTTGCTAAGATCATACTATTTAATTTTTTGAATCATGTCTAAAGATGTCTTGCGTTGTTTGTGCCTTTGTTTTCTTCCTCTTCTCCACCCTGAATAGCTTATATGGTTAAGAATTTTTTATTGGGACTGGAGTTATTGTACTGTAGGTCAGATGCTTGATTTGCACGTGGTGAGTCAGCATCTGTCCCTGGTACCACACGGGGTTACCTGAGTACCACCAGGTGTAAGTCCTTTGTACAAGCAGATATGGCCCCCAAGCAAACAAACAACAAAAACCATTGTTTTATTGCTTTCTCTTTCACAGATTACTACCGAATATCTTTAACCTATTCTTAAATTAGGTCTAGGTCTTCATGATAGCAAAATATTAAAAAAATATTTCAATACAGAACTTTGGGTTTTTAAAAATTCTTTTTTCGTGTTTAATTTCTCCCTTTCCTTCCCTTTATAGATGTTGCACTGACCAGGGTCCTGTGCATGCCTGACTCTGGTGCCTGCCTGCACTTTTTGTTATGATGCTTGTCAGTTTTTTTGTGAAAGTACAAACCATGAAAGTATCTTATCCCATTCTGTAATTTTCTTTTAACCTAATTCTTATAACTAAGTAACTTTCCCTTTATAGAAGTTTCTAATTTTATTGACGTTATTTACCAATTTTATTTATTCTTGTTTTTTTCTATCATAAATACATAAAGGATATTCACCTGGATATTTTTCCCTCCAATCTGATTTGTAATAGGATTCAAATAGTTTTGTAATAGGATTCAAATCCTCTTCTGAGCTCTAAGACTCCCTGGAGTCAACGTTGATGTATGGTTCTGATTTTATTTATCTCATGTGACCCAGTATGATTTATTGAAGAGTTTTCCCTTTCCACATTGATTTATAATGTCACCTGATCTCACAAGTGTCCCTAGTTTTCTTCTGTTGTTTCCTATTTCCCTCTCTTAGCCTGTCTCAACCCCATATTGTCCTAGTCACTGTGATAATTTATAATGACACGTGTGCCTGGGAGGCAAGGACTTTTTCTTCTTTTTAATTTTTATTAGTGAAACACCATGAGGTACAGTTGTAGACTTACAAATTTTTGTGCTTGGCTTTCAGTTATACAATGATCGAACACCCAGCCCTCCATCAGTGCCCATTTTCCACCACCATAGATCCCAGCATCCCTCCCACCCCCCACCCCCCCATTCCACCTGCCTCTGTGGCAGGGCATTTCCTTTTGTTCTTTCTCTCCTTTTGGGTGCTGTGGTTTGCAAAAGAGACATTGAGTGGCAATCATGTTTGGTCTATAGTCTACTTTCAGCATGCTTCTCCCATCCTGAGAGGAACCTCCCAACATCCTTTATTTGGTGCTCCCTCTCCATCTGAGGTGCCTTTTTTCCCTAGAGTGTGCGGCTGTCCTCCAAGCCATGGAGTAATCCTCCTGGTACTTATCTCGGCTATTCTTGGGTGTTAGTCTCTTATTTTGTTACTTTATGTTCCCCAGATGAGTGCAATTTTTCTATGTCTGTCCCTCTCTTTCTGACTCATTTCGCTTAGCATGATACTATCCAAGTAGTACCACATGTATGTAAATTTCATGACTTCATCCTTTCTAACAGCTACGTAGTACTCCATTGTGTAGATGTACCAAAGTTTCTTTAACCTAAAGGACTCTTTTTGGCTCTTTGCTCTCCACTACAGACACCAGGATCATTTTGTCAATTATTTCCAGTTAATAGATTATTAGTATTTTATGTCAATTTAATACTATGTTACTTCTGTCAGAGGCTTATATTTTTTCCTATTTGAGATTAAAAGTTATTTTTTCATTTATCTCCTGGGTTTCCAATTTATAAATATTCATACATGTTTACGCATTTATACATTTCCTATTTATACTTAGTGCTCAAGTGGATTTTTTTTTATGAGGTCAACGTCAAATTGAATGGATTAACAGTCTCTAAATTCTATTGCTTATCTTTCCTTCTTAATAATATATTTCTTCATGAAATTTTGCATTTTGGTTTGCAGGCTCACAATGAGATGGAAGTATTTGTTTGTCAGCCTTGTTCCCTGCAGTTTGCAGTTATAACCAGGTTTCATAGTGGCATTTGTATAAGAGATACCCAGTTCTGAATCACGAGGCCTCTAGTTTAGTTCCTGATGTTGGCATATACAAACATAAGAGCTGAAAAATCTGCCTGGCTTATAAGCTATATTTAACTGTGGGTAGTTACTTGTGCCTGGAGTCTGGAAGTATAATGTGTAAAGATACAGAGGGGATGGATAAGCAGAAAAGAGGCATAAGGCAGATCCTAATGTGTATTTGTGCAAAGCTTAAACTTTATCCTGAATGTTGCAGAGAGCCATTAGGATTTCCACTAGAGGACGGACACATGATGAGGTGCAGTAATGCCTTATAAAGAAATCACCTAAGGAGGCTATACGGCTTTTCCAGAAAATACGATGAAAGCACAGTGACAGAGGGCACGCAGAGGTGAAGTCAAATTCAAGAGATGCTGGTGATTGCTATGATGCAGGGAGTAAGGCAAAGAGAGGAGCAGAGGATGAGTCTGAGGATGGTGATTGATTGCCTGGGTCCCCACTGATGCTGTTGCTGAGGAAACAGAAAGAAAGACAAGTTACACAGGAAAAAGAATGGATTCATTCTGGAATCCACTGGCTTTGGTAGAGTTGTGCAGCTGGCGATGTCTCGTCAAGAACCAACACAGCTGCAAGTACAGGTGAGACGTGGTGATCAGACTGACAGGAAGAAAACAGGCCTTAACTGAATTCTGTGGCTGTTTTTAATTTGGGGGCCACCTCTCAACCAGAGTTCAGGAATCCTGGGAATTACCTGGGCTGAAATGCAACCCAGCAAGGCTGGATAATTCAATGCTAGGTCCTGGGGGTCCAGCACTGTTTGGGGCCAGTGGTGCTAGAGCCAGCAGGGACAGCCTCTCTAACTCTGTGTTTACTTCCTGCGTAGAGACCAGAGGCCAACCCAGTGGGGCAGCAGTTTCCACTGGGAGGCTGTCTTCTGTCTCCTCGTTGATGCTGTCTATGTACTATTGCAGTGAGCAAGAGTCACACTTCAACACGAAGAGGTCAAGTCTTGAGCTCTGATTGATCTTTGATACCATCTAATCAAGGGGGTGGAAGACCTCTAAGCCAACCACTGCTCCCCAACCCAAGCACGGTCCTTTCTGCAAAGGAGAACAGGTCACCCTCTGACACTCTCTGAACATTGTAGTTACAGAGGTGTAGGGACCTCAAGGCATATTCAGGCAATGTAGCATCAGCCTGGATCATCCTGGCCTGCGATGCTTTTTATTTTCAGCAGGTGATTGAGTGAATGGGTCTATGTTCAGAGAGAAATCCATGTCTCAGAATCAAAGATCAGGGTCCAAGCACTTCTGCACCACTTAAAACTGCATGACCTTGGCGACTGGGATTCCTTTTTTCAGTATCAGTGTCTTCATCTTTACCCCAGTGGAATGTGACCTATTCCCCAGTCCACTGTGAACATCACCTCTGGCCATGAATAAAAGTGTACTGAGGTTCAAAGACAGCTCCTTCCCTTTTACGTAAGGGGGAACAAGCCTATTATCAAGTATGGAGATAAGAGAAAAATGGAAGGTGAAAAGATAGAAACTAAATCTTTTAAGGATAAATCCGTACAAAATTCCGTGGTGTCTGTGTGTGTGTGTGTGTGTGTATGTGTGTGTGTGCTACTTCCTATTGCTTATCTACAGTTAGAATTACCTGTGCAGTGACTGTTTTCTTCCCCTTTACCCTCAGTAAAGTTAATTTTATTTTGCAAAACCAGGTAAGCAAAGAAATAAAGAACTGGGACATTAAAAATTTAAGTATCTCCCTCTCTGCCTTTGTTTCAGACAACTAATTATTTTTCTTTTGCTCACAGCAGATATGAAGTATCTCTGGGCTGACAGCAAGTAAAATTCCCTTTGTCTCATTTAGGAACTGATGAGAAAGCCCTCATCGACATTCTGACTGAGAGGTCCAATGCACAGCGACAGCTGATTGCGAAGGAATATGAAGCAGCTTATGAAAAGGTACAGTTTGATTAACGGGACAGACTAGAAAGAGCTAATCAGAACTCAGGGATGCCCTGCTTGACTGTGGGTAGTGGTTATTTTGTTTCTGATTCAGAGCAAAAAGTGCAGCTTGTACCCTCCTCAGCAGACCTCAGAGTCTGTTCTCCTGTCACTAGCTGAATGGCCACGAGTGTGCCTCAGTTTCTCTCATGTGGAATAAGCAGGCTTGCCTCAGATCAGGGTTCCTGTATCTTTTCCGCTTCCTACCATAAAGTGCAGCATAGCCATGCATTTAATTCTTTGGTCCTTGCATGTTCAGAAACCTTTTACTGTTGCCCAATCTTTCCTGACCTCTTGCATTTAGTCACATAAGACCTTCATGGGATCCCAATTGGTGCTTCTAACAATATTTGAGACATTTTGTTGATCACAACTGGTAGGAGAGAGAAGGATGCTTCTCTCAGCTAATAAGTAGAGATTTGGGAAGTTGCAAAATGTCTTAGGATGCACCCAACAGTTCCCACAGCAAAGCACTGTCGGACCAGTTCCTGTCTAAAAGTCCTGTCCTAAAAGTTCTTTCATTGATTTTTTATTTAAAAAAAATTTTAGTCACAGTGGGGCCGGAGCGATAGCACAGTGGGTAGGGAGTTTGCCTTGCACGTGGCTGACCCGGGTTGATTCCCAGCATCCTATGTGGTCCCCTGAACACCGCCAGGAGTAATTCCTGAGTGCAGAGCCAGGAGTAACCCCTGTGCATTGCTGGGTGTGACCCAAAAAGCAAAAAAAAATTAGGCACAGTAATTTACAATATGGTTCATGCATAGTGTTCCACCCCCACACCCTCCACCAACAGCCACTTTTTTAAACCATTGTTCTAGTCCCTTCCAAACCACCCCCCAAGCCCTATTCCCTCACCCATGCTTGGTAATCTTAGATCTGGAAATCGGTTCTCAGATTCTGTTGCCTTCGGCTATTTGTTAGTCCCTTCCTATGCTTTTTCACGTCCTGCATATGAGAGATCGTTCTGTAGCTTTTGCTTTACTTCACTCAGCGTGATCCCTTGCAGTTCCTTCCACAAATCAGCAAATTTTGCATTTTTGTGTTTTCCTTTTATAGTCGAGTAGTATTTTGTTGCATATGTATCAGAGCATTTTTATCCAGTCATCTGTTCCTGGATGCTTGCGGTTGTTTCCAGATTCTGACTATTGTAAATAGTACTGCTATTTCTTTTTTAACTTTAAAATGATTATGTATTTATAGGCCTGATGCATTTTGTAAATGAAAATTGAATAACAACCAGAATCAATGGACCAAATATATTAGACTTGGTTTTTGCCAGATAGTTTATTTGTTTAATAAAGCGATAGCACAGCGGGTAGGGCGTCTGCCTTGCACGCAGCCAACATGGCCGACCCGAGTTCAATTCCTCCGCCCCTCTCGGAGAGCCCGGCAAGCTACCGAGAGTATTCGATATGCCAGACACAGTAACAACAAAGTCTCCAATGGAGACGTTACTGGGCCCGCTCGAGCAAATCGATGATCAACGGGAGGGCCTTTACTTACTTTTACAAATTTGTTGGATACGACGCTATGTCAGTAGATATTCTAGACAGGGGAGATATAATGATACAGAAAAGGCATCCTCTCTTTCTTCATGGAGCAAACATTCTAATAGGAAAAAATAAGTAAATTCAAGAAATTCAGATCATTGGTAGGTGCTATGAGAAGAACTAAAATGTTTTGATATGGTAGAGAATCACCAGTGAAAGGCTTGTTTAAGTCAGACAGTGAAGAAGTGACAGTCACCCACCTACCTACTTGTACTAAGGATTTCGCTCTTCTTGGTCTTAGGGAGAGCATATAAAACAGAATATAGAGTGCGTTTGCAAGCCATGAAGCAGAAAGGGCTTATTTAAGGGACAAAGTTCCTCTGTTAGGATGGTGGCAGAGTGAAAGGGACAGAGTAAAAAGGTGAGAGGTGAAGAAAGATTTAGAACATAGAAGGCGTTAAGTCTAGTTAATGTCAAGGGTAATAAGGAACCATTGGAGGTTTGTAAACAGGGAAATAAAATTTAGCTTGTAGCAACTAATTAAAAGACTCTATTAGCAGCCAGGGCTAAGGAAATGTGGAAGGAAGAGAGTGAAGAGTAGCTGTTCGGTGAGTGTCTAGTGACTGTCCAAAGGCAGCTCATTTAGTATCTCCCTAAAATGTGCTCCAGGGACTGGAGAGATAGTATGAGGGTAAGGCACTTGCCTTGCATCTGACCAACTCCAGTCTATCCCTGGCATTTCATGTGGTGCCCCCAACACCGTCAGGAATGACCCTTGGGCAAAGATCCAGAAGTTTCCCTGAGCTCTGCAGGGTTTGGCCAAACAACCCCTCCCTAACGGCTTTCTCCAAGCTCCCAGACCCCACTAAGATATCCTTCTCAAGTATTTGACTTCCACCCTTCATCAGCTACTTAATATATTACATTTGAATATTATCACTGAATGTTTTTCATTAGATATTAATGTCCTAGGGATAGGGGTTATGCCTACTTCATTTTTAAATGCTTAGCACAGAGCAGGTGCCCAGTAAACTTTTGCCAGTTTGAATGCATGACCAGGCTTTAGTGCACAACAACACACACACACAGACACACACATATGTAGATATATATATATATATATATATATATATATATATATATACACATATTCACTCCAGCCCTGAGATTTTAGTAGCCTCTCCTTACTCATTTTTCCCAATGATTGGAGGCTCTTTCAAGGTCAGGGGAATGAGACCTGTTATAGTTACTGTTTTTGGCATATCGAATACGCCACAGGGAGCTTGCCAGCTCTGTCCGTGCAGGCGGGATACTTGGTAGCTTGTATAGGGCTCTCCAAGAGGCATATATATAGAGAGAGACAAATAGAGACGTTACTGGTGCCTGTTCAAGTAAATCGACGAACAAGGGATGACAGTGATACAGTGATATAAATACAAATATATATACACACACATATATGGAACTCAACATATATGTGTGTGTTGAGTTCCATATATATAAAAATATAATGGAATATATATATATATATATATATATATATATATATGGAGCTCAAATGAACCAATGATTTCCAAAACATGAAGGATGGAGGTCAAAAATTTCAGTCATTTCTCATTATGGATAGAGGGAGAGCATATGAAATGAGACCGTTGGAAAGTCTTGGTTAGAAGACAGTTGTTAGGGGAAGTCAACATTCAGAGAAGAACCCCCTGCCCCACCTCCCCGTGGTGCTAAAAGCATAGTTAGTGACACTGGCTCCATCTTATTCGTTCCAGTAGGAGTGTACCCCCACTGTGACCCCCAGTGGTATGGTAGATGCTGTTCTGTATCCATGTCCTTTCAGTCTGAGCAGCTGCCAGTTTCATTATTAGAGCTGAAAATAATGAAGAGCAGAAGTGGGGGGAAAACTCAGCAACATGAATTTGGGTGTTGAAAATTAAAAAACATGCTCTGTCTTTAAACAGAGGAAATAGATCATATTTTTATTACTTGTGAAAACAGCACCAAAGGACAGTACTAAATAAATAGTGCCCAACCTATCACTTCATTGCACATTTAGGGTCACTCACACTCTAGGCCAGCTCCCCGTGACGTATTCAAGATGCCCAAAACAGTAACAACGAGTCTCACAATTTGTTGTGAGATGTTACTGGTGCCCGCTCGAGCAAATCGATGAACAACGGGAGGACGGTGCTGCAGTGCAGTGCTACACTGTAGGCACCACAAAGCCGCTTTTAGATGTCCTCTATTTCCACCTTCTTCCCAAGGATGTACTGCCAACCATTATCATCATTTCTCTTTTCCTCTTAGTTGCTCTGTGACATTCATGGAGAAGCAAGGTAGAAAGAGAGCAGCAACCAATGAAATGGGTGCAAATGTAGAACTCCTGAGTGTTTAAGTCTTTTTTAATTCTTCTCTCCCTCCACGCCCATCTTTTTTTTTTCAACTCACTGTTTCAAATTACAGTTATTCATGTTTGGGTTTCAGGTATACATTACAGTGTTTCAACACCAAAACCTTCATGATATTTACTTCCCCCTAACGATGTCACCCCCCCTCACCATTTGCCTCCGACAAATCAGCTTCTATGAAAGGTGTTCTTTTTTAAAATAATAATAATAATAATAATAATAATAATAATAATAACTTTTTATACTGTGGTTCACAGTACTGTTGCTGGTAGGATTTCATACATCATTTTACCACGTTTCAGCATCACTTCCTCCTGGTTGATGACTTCCTCCACGATAATCATGGTCCCCTCCCTGTCCTTTCCCCCCAGTCCCCTCAAGTGGTGTGTTTCTTAATGGGTACCAGAACTCGTGTTCTTTGTTTCCACTGTCTTTGGATATTTGTTATTCCACCATTATGTTCCTTTATATGCCGCATTTAAGAGAAATCTTTCTGTGTTGGTCTCTCTTCCTCTGACTGACTTCATTCAGCACGACACTCTTGAGGGCCAGGGAGCAGCGAAGGACACAACTTTATCTTTCCTTCTGGCTGAGTGGCAGTTCATTGTGTATATGTGCCATCTCTTCTTGTCCACTCCATTTTTTTTGTTCAACATTAAAATGTTCAGTTAAACTTTATTTCTTTTTAAAACCTTCATTTCCGCATCTTGATTAATATATTTGCATAATAGAAGGTCTGTCTTTGGGATAATAAAATCTAATGTTTTATGTATTAAAATTTTAAGGTATCTCTCTCTCTCCCCCTCCTTTCCTGTAAACTCCTGACCTTAAACAGTTGCTCACTCCATTTTGAGAGCATGGAGGACCTAGACATTGCATTATATCTGAATATGATTGGTGGCGTTTATTTAACCTCTTCATGGATTTTTCTTCCAGAATATCCTATAAAATAGAACTTTGGGGAAGCAGACTTAGATGTAGATTGGTAGCCCATAGGGTATATTATTATTTTTGTTTATTTCCTCTGGATGGGTCTATTTTGGTCTGGCTGGGTGCTGACATTCATCTTTTTCTTATTTTGGAAGAATTTAGAGAAAGAGAAAGAGAAAGGATTTAATGCTTTCTTCTCTGGGGATTTTCTCTTAGAGGCTGAAAGATGACTTGAAGGGTGATCTCTCTGGTTACTTTGAGCATCTTTTGGTGGCCCTGGTGACCCCACCGGCAGTGTTTGATGCGAAGCAACTGAAGAAGTCCATGAAGGTATGAATGAGTCTTACACAGCCATTTATGTCTAAGATCTGTTCATATCACCCAAAAGGCAGCAACTTTCTTCCAGTTACAGATGTAAATACAACAGGTTTGGACCCCCCTCTTTGTTTTTTAAAAAAAATTTATTAGTGAAACACCATGAGGTACAGTTGTAGACTTACAAATTTCTGTGCTTGGGTTTCAATGATCCAGTACCCATCCCTCCACCAGTGCCCATTCTCCATCATTTACATTTTTTTTTTAATTTTTGTTAGTGAAACACCATGAGGTACAGTTTTAGATTTACAATGTTTTGTGCTTGGGTTTCAATTGTACAATGATCAAACACCCATCCCTCCACCACTGCCCATTTTCCACCACCACGGGTCCCAAAATCCCTCCCCCCGCCACTCCCCTGTCCCTCCCTTTTGTTCTCTCTCTCCTTTTGGGTGTTGTGGTTTGCAAAAGAGGCATTGAGTGGCAATCATGTTTGGACCCCCTTTTGACTGTATTCTCTGGTTGATAAAAAATAATGAAACAAACCTTGAAATAGGGGGACATTGTGGAACATGAATACACTTGTCTATGGAAGTTTTTTAAGTCACCAAGTCATCTTCCAGGCCCCAGGAGACATATATTAAGAGATTTATTGCCAGGCTGGAGAGATACTGCATATGGCCAACTTTGGTTCAATCCTGGACACAGCATAGTGTTCCCCAGGCACCATCGGGAGTCATCCCTGATTACAGAGCCAAGAGTAAGCCCTGAGTACTGCCACGTGTGGCCTAATAAACAAAAGAGAGAGGGTAAGCTATTTACTGCTAGGAATTGGTTATACAATTGTGAGGGTGGCTAGACAAATCTAAAATCTGTGAGCAAGCTGTCAGGAACGGAAGGCTGAAATTTTTGACAAAGAGCTAAAGAAGCTGCAGGTATGTAAACTTCTCTTACTTCTTCAGAGAAGCGTCACCTCTGCTCTCTTTTTTTTTAAAAAAATTGTTATTTCCTTTTTATTTATTTATTTTTTAATTGATTCACTGTGAGATACAAAGCTTTCATGTTTGAGTTTCAGTCATACGATGATCAAACACCCATCCCTCCACCAGTGCACATTTCCCACCACCAATGTCCTCAGTATTCCCCACCTCCCCCTGTCTCTATGGCAGACAATTTCCCCATACTCTCTCTCTACTTTTGGGCATTATGGTTTGTTCAGATTTTCCCACCCCCATTCAAGCCTGCCTGCCTCAACCTCAGTGTAAAGTGTAATTCCAAGCACGCATTGGTAGGGGGCAGGAAGTGTGTGAGTAAAAACAGCTATCTGGAAGAGGCCACAGTGGACAGAAATGGCCCAACTCCATACATGTTCAGGCTCAGGCACCGAGAGTCCCCTGGAGAGAGCGTCCCCGCTGCGTGGCGAGTGAAGTGTGTTGGTACCCGCTTAATAGCCAGCTAGACTCTTGGCAGTGGGTGCTCTTGGTGTGAAAACGGAGCCGTGTCCACATGGGAATCAGTTTAGCAGATAATAATATAGTGATGATGTTCACAATAATAATGATCAGATTCACCAACAAGGGTCAGAAAGATTTCTTTTTATTTATTTATTTATTTATTTTTATTAGTGAAACACCATGAGGTACAGTTGTAGACTTATCAACTTTCGTGTTTGGGTTTCAGTTGAACAATGATCGAGTACCCATCCCTCCACCAGATCGAGTGCCCACCAATTCTCCACCACCAATGATCCTAGCAGATGATTCTCCCACCCCCACCCCACCCCCCACTCCATACCACAGCCACTCTTCCTCTATGGCAGGGCATTCCCTTTTGTTCTATCAGAAAGATTTCTTTTACACAAAATAAGCAGTCCCTCATTGCCGGTTGTGGCACCTCCATTTTCAGAGACTTCAGCTCCTTCCGTCTTTATATTCTTTCATCGCCACTTCCTGGTCTCAGGTCCCACTTCCTGGCTGAAATGACAGCTCATAATCCAACCATATGTCTTCATGCGAATTGGTTGGAAATAGTGAGAAACAAAGAATGGTTTTCCCTTTTCTTAAAAACCTCTCAGAAGGTGTGAGAGAGATAGTATAACGGGTAAGGAGCTTGCCCAGCTTTGATCTCCAGCCCCTGAGCCCACCAAAAGTGAGTGCACTGCCAGGAGTAAGCCCTGAGCACCACCGGAGGTGGACCAGAAAAACAAACAAAAAATAAAAACCCTCAGAAATTATTGTTAGAAATTAGTCATGTATGCCAACCTACTTCTATGAGAGACAGATACAGTTATTGTTTGGGGGCATTTTTTTTATTGAGGCACCATGATTTACAACACTTAATCATTGAGTTTCAGGATGGAGTAATAGTACAAAGGTGAAGTAGCTTACCTTGCCTTACCTGGGTTTGATCCCAGGCATCCAATATGGTCCCTTGAGCACCACCAGGAATGATTTATGAGTGCGGTACCAGGAGTAAGCCCTGATCTTCAGAGTATGGCCCAAAAGCAAAATAATATAGTTTCATGCATAAAATGCTTAAACACCACACCCACCACTAGAATGGCAGAGTCCTGGCACCAGTGTCCCTTGGTCCCCTCCCCACACCCCTGTACTCATCCTTCACACCCCAGCCCCCCCCAAAACGCACACACACATTTGGTAAATTCTGTTCTTAAGGCCTGTTCCCAGGTTCTGTTACCTTTGGCCATTTTTTGTTTCCTTAGAACCCACATATATGAAACCATTCTGTATCTATCTCACGCCTTCTAACTTCACTCAGCATGACGCCCTCAGTTCTTTGGATAATTAAGTGCTAAATTTAAAATTGGAGTTACTACTACTAAGAGAAGATAAGAAAAATATTGAATCAATTCTATTTTTCTATAAATCTCAGACTGATTTAGAAACTCTAAAAATAATGAACGTTTTTAAAGAGTTTGGAAGGTCAGAGAGATGACTCAAGCAGCTGATGAGGCCTGTGTTAATCCCTGGCTCTACGTGGACTCCCAGCACAGAGCTAGGAGTAACCCATGAGCACTGCCAGGTGTGGTCCAAAGAAAGCAAAATAAAACAACAACAACAAAATATTTTGGAGGGAACTGGGAATCTCTACAACATAGTGACAAATTCAGCTTCTGTTGATTCTTTTTTGCATTGGCCTTGTTTGATTTGGTCCTACCCTAAACTGCTTCCCCTGGAGTCACAATATGATATTTTTATTGTTGTTGTTATTCATCAAGAATCAAACAGTTTTATTCAGTGTATTTTGGTTGTACATTGAATTATAAGATATTTATTATGTGCATCCTGTGCATTTCCTTTCAAGTATATTTCCAAGGATTCTTGCTTATGTGTCACTTTGAATAAAAAAACTTCACCATTAGATTTAAAAACTATAAAATCAAAGCATTACAGTTGAATATTAATTTTGTGTACAACTACTTCACTGAATTGTTTTATAATTATTAATTCCTTTTTTATATTGTGAGCTTGTTTTAAATTTATAAATTCTAGATAATTCATTTAGATATTTATATATAGATAATTCATCTAGATATTTCATTTCATTATATTATGTTATAGTTCACTGTCCTCAAAGTCTACACCACTTTTTTTTATTTGACCATAAATTTGATATTTCAAGTCATCTTTAATAATCTGGATTGCATCCTCAATACACCACATTAATTATAACATATAATAAAATACACCGATTTTAAATATACATTTTCATGAGTTTTCACACACACACACACACACACACACATATATATATATATATATACAGACTTGCTAACTACCAGTATAATCAAGGTTCAGAATGATCCAGTTACGGAGTCACAATATGATATTTTGACCTCAATATAAACCAAGGCTCAGGCGTGGCTAGTTCCCAAGCATCTTAGCCCAATGACACATACCACTGAAACTGAAGAATCTCCTATGCAGAGGTTGATGTTTCCTCACCAGCAGTCAGAGAAAGGTAGCACCCTTTTTTGTGTGTCACACCCAACGATGCCCAGGGGTTACTCCTGGCTCTGCACTCAGTAATTACTCCTGCAGTGCTCGGGGGACCATATGGGATGCTGGGAATTGAACTCAGGTCTGCCGCGTGCAAGGCAAGCACTGTACTGTACTATCACTTCAGCCCCAAGGTAACACCTTTCTAAACCACGTGTAAATGCTCTTTTCTCATCCTGAATGACATTGATTTTCTTTTAGATTATGCCTTCCTGTAATTTTTGTACTGATTTTTTGGAAAAGATTTTCTTGAAGTGTTTATGTCAGTTAACACCTGATAATTCACTATATTTTCATTTTATATTAAGTGTACGGACAACTAGAAAACTATTATATTTTTATTTGTTTGTTTATTTGTTGTTTGTGGGGCAGACCTGGCAATGCTCAGGGGTTATGCCTGGCTCTGCACTCAGGAATCACTCCTGGTGGTTCTCGGGGGACCATATGGGATGCTGGGGATCAAACCCGGGTCTGTTGCATGCAAGGCAAACACCTTACCCCCTTTGATATTTTTCCAGCCCTAGAAACATACCTTAAAGTAATATACAACCTTATATTAATTCACTAAAACTGTTTTTTAAATCTGTATGAAACAAGACGTATAAGACTGAAATGCATGAAACTGAATTATTCAGTATCTAAAAACTGTTTCTGTTTCTTTTTAAAGGGCACTGGGACAAATGAAAACACACTGATTGAAATCTTGACCACCAGAACCAGCCGTCAGTTGAAGGAGATATCTCAAGCCTACTACACAGGTCATCTTGTTTTCTTTACCACTGTTTTCACATATAGAAGCTAAAGTTGTTCCGCTTCCTCAGAAACTCAGCAGTTGCTTCTTCAGAAAGCATTTAAGAAAGCTGGGACTATAAGAAAAACAAAAAGACATGGAGATAGTACAAAGGTGAAGACACTAGCCTTAATTCACGCTAATTAGACTCTCTGGCACCATAGATGGTTGCCTAGAACTTCCAGGGGTCACTCCTGAGCTCCAGACCAAGAATAGACCATGAGCATCACTGGGTATGGCATCAACTCCCCTACCCCCCCAAAAACGGAAGCTGCCTTCTAAATTGGGTGAAAAACAGTGGATTTTTCAGAGAAAATTTGAACATGATTTTAGCTAGAAACTGCTACTTACCAATGGCCTTAATGGGTTGCCTTTTAAACATCGGAGCTATAGAGAATTTTGCTTTCTGCAATCACAGCTTAATTAAATCAACAACTTTTATCCATGTAAGAGACACAAACCTGGTTTATTAATATTGTATGTTAAAATCTACTCAGATTAGCCTCGTATTTCCGGTACAGGAAATGAGCTGAACTATTCAGAGAATATGTTGAGCATGTGAATCCGGTGTCACTAGCTGAAGTCCTCAGAGTCTGTTAGTCATGTGAAAATTCGGAAGTCACTGCAGTGGGGTTCTGACACCAACTACTCAAGCTCGGCATTACCTCATGGATTAGGGGCACAGTCTACATGTTACTGAACTCAAGGTCCACCAGCATTCAAGACTCAAAGGTTGATAGGAAATGAAAGAGTTTATTCAGGAGCTAGCTATCATTTTCTGGCAAAATGGTGGCCTCAGATACCTCGAAAAATAAAATCTGTCTCTTAGATTGGGATCAAAGCCTCCTAGAGGACAGGGTGGGAAAGGATGTAAGAAGAAGTTTATGATCGTGGGCAGAACATCATTCTGTCTCAGATCCATTCACTGGTGTCTGTAGTCACCAGTGGGCCCTTAGAGGATGACAGTCTGTTCCTTGTGATCTGGTCAAGTGCCCATCCTTCTCCAGAGGCTGCACAGTCACCTTCAAGAGTCCTTCCAGAGAGCTTGTCCTTGACTCTTCTCCAAGGAGAGAGGAATCTTGGGCATGATAAGTCCCAGGGATGTCCTCAGAGCGCGATGTTTTCTCTCCCACCTCCATCCATTACTGGACCTGTTCAGTATTGAACACACAGAGACTGAGAACCTCTCGGAAGATGCGGGCACAGTGCATAGGCCAGGGAAGAGAAGTGATGAGAAGTGTCTCTGTGGAGAGCAAGATGGAGCCTGTTGCTCCCTCACTCAAAGGCACCTTCAGACACCAGCCTCGAGTTCAGGTGTTCCAGGACACACACTCTTGACCAATGGCTACAAATTCAGAGTGTCCATTATTACCTCAGGTTTACTAGTTCACCAGAATGACACAGAACTCCAGAAAGTAATAGACAGTTGGTCTTTGGAAAATAAAGGGATTAGGAACCCTGTCTTCCTCCCCATTAAAAGTCCCTGTGTAACTTTGGGCATATTTAACCATATTTAACCATAGTTGTCCCTTGGTAGCCATCAGGGTTGATTTTGGGATCCCACTCAGAGAGTGAACTCATTCCCTTAAGTCAAGTCCCCATTTCTGTGGGTTCCACATCTGTGGATACAGAACTCAACGGAATTTATTAAAAAATAAAATCTGTGTATAAGTGTAGATACACATTTCAATCCTATGTTATCAAGGTTCAAGTTTACTTACAATTACAGTTGTACACAAAGACAATGGATCAGGACTGGCCACATGAAGAGATGCACGAAGAAAAGACTGTTGGGTGGGTGTTGGGGGGCACCAAGGGGTTGACTCTGAAATCCAACACTTCTGTGTCTTTAGGAAGCATCATTCTCCTAGCAAACACTATCTAATTATTAAACAGGGAAACTTATCAATCTTTGAGATCTGGAGTTTGGCTGGAGTTTCATTGCATTGTCGAGATTGCTGCACTAAGTGGCCATGTGACTGAACCCCATCTCCAGTCCCTCTCTCTCCCTGAAGGCCAGACTGATGTGTAACCCAAGCCCCTAAACCTCTAATCACATAACTGTTCTTTCTGGGAGACCAGCCCTCATCCTGAATCATCATATGAACATAAACCGGGGTGTGACTTTTGGAGACTTCAGTGACTAATAAAGATTCCAATTATCCAGGAGATCCTAAAGATCTACAAGTTTCTTCAGAGGTACTAGGGGACAAAGACCAGGCCAGTGTTTGAACATGCAGTAGCTCTCTGTAACCCTCACAAGTACCTGAAGGAGCTCTGACTTCTGTCTGTAAATCAGAAAGACCAGTTCTCTGTCCAGGAGCTCTGCAGAGGGCAAGGTTCATAGAAGAGATATACAGGCTCCCATGGATTTTTTTAAAAACATGGCAGCCCAAAGCTCTCTCCCCCAGGTGCCCTAGGTTTGTTTCCACTGCAATGGGTTAAGAAAAGACCTCTTTGGCAGTGGACTGGCAGCTTGGCCATCTTCCAGGCTGCCAGCCTGGAAAATGGCCAAGTTGCCTCTTCATGTCCTTATAGGAACCATTTTGCCTACGTGATCGTCAGCAGGATTTTTATAGGGAAGTACATTTTAGTCACCCACCAGTGGCAAATCAGTGGGTGCCCAGATGAACAATATGTTTCCTCTGGGGCTATTATTCCTCTAAGGCACACTCTGTCCGTTCTGCAGACTAAACCTGGTCAGGGCAAGGGTTTGAGGAGGTGGACACTATCCTTACCTCTAGGCTTTGTAGGAGACGAGACGAGGACAGCTGTCCCTGACAGAAGAACTGCTCCTTATTCCGCAACTCCTTTCTCATGTACGGTTTCCCCTTGTTGGTTGCTGGTGTTTCTCTGAAGAGGTGTCTCTCAGTGCTTACCTGCCCTCTATTGGCTGCCTGGAGTCCAGCCATCACCAGCAACCCTCTGACACAAGGGTTGGGGGGTGAAAGGGGTGGCAATGGGAGGCGGGGGGTGTCTTTGGTTAGTTTTGTTCATTGCTGCTTCTTCAGTGCCCCCAGCAAAGGAGGAAATAAGTTCCAATATTTATGGAGTAAAGAGCCTCAAGACTGAGGCTGGCCGTTCCAAGTGAAAGTTCTAGATTTAACAGTTTTTTTTAATTGAATCATAGTGAGATGCACAGTTACAAAGCAGTTCATGATTGGGTTTCAATCATTTAATATCCCAACACCAGTCCCTTCACCAGAGTACATTTCCCATCATTAATATCCCCAGTTACCCTCCTCCTGCCTCCACCGTCACCTCTATGGCAGGTGCTCTCTCTCTCTCTCTCTCTCTCTCTCTCTCTCTCTCTCTCTCTCTCTCTCGCACGCGCACGTGCGCGCGCTCTCTCTTGCTCTCTCTCGCTCTCTCTTGCTCTCTCTCTCTCCTTTTGGCCATTGTACTTTGCAATACAGCTATTGAAAGGTCATCAAGTATATCCCTTTCCCTACTTTCAGTTCTTGTCCAGAGTGATCAGGGACCACCATGACAATGATAGTTGGAAACAATCACTCAAGCAGTCATTTGTTTTACAAATACACCAAATGATAATAGCTGAAAGTTATCTGAAGGCCTGATTCCAGGCCAACTTAAGCTTCCTAAAGCTGCAAGAAATAGAGCTGGGCCTTAGCCTCTTTGAAACCAAGGACACTCTGCGAACCTTGTTTCCTTCCTGGGCCCCCTCATCTTGTATAATAGCCCTTCCATTTATGTAATGTTTGCCTAGGACCCCTTGAAATATCCTGGGGCCTCCAGTTGAGAAACACTGAGTTTGATTACCCATGGGAATCTTGAATTTAATGGCATAGAAGAATGAAAAAGGAAAAAGAACAGTCACATTCAGCCACACTTTACTGAGGACACAGTGCAAGCCGGGAACTCAGCCATCTCATCACTCCCTCAGCCTCAGGCATCCTTGTTGGATGTTCAGAGGTTTCCAATACAGTAGCTCTCTCCTGTCATTCTGCTTCTTCTGTTGGACAGAGCCAGCTAGCCTCTCTCAGGTCACCACATGCTGTCTAGCTTACCTTGACCCCTGGTTTCCGGTTCTTGTTGACTTCTGTGCTGTCCTACTTCCTGGTCTTGCACTTCTTTATCACTCAATGTGCTTGTCCCTTGTCAGTGGGCCTGGCCAGCACTGTCCAGTTTGCTCTTCTACAGGGTTGCCTCACAGGCCGGCCCGAGGCCAAGCTTGTCTCACTCAACGGTGTGAAGAGAGTGACAGGAATCTCCGCAAGAGATGCAAGTCAAGTTGGTTCTTCCAAAGAGACCAGACAGCTGGGGTTTTGGTTTCGTTTTGTATAAGGGCAGAATAGAGTCTAAATAAGTAGAGTAACATTCTGACATTTCCCCCCAGTATTCTTAAGCGTTCTCAAGTACTCTGTACTCTAAAGTGAATAGTGTGTGAAGGGTATTGAATCTGGGATTATGAATTCCAAATTCTGGCAGTGATAGCTGGGGTGTGGGCCACATACCTCACCTGTCAAGACCGTGGGTTGGATTCCCAGCACCACACAGTCTCTGAGCATTGCTGGAGAAACCCCTGGGCTAGGAGCAGCCCCCCAAGTCCCACTGTGGATGTGAGACACACACACACACACACACACACACACACACACACACACACACACACACAGAGAGAGAACAAAGAACTCTGAATTCTGATTCTCCTGGAGTCACCAGTCACCGTGTGCCTGGATGTCATTGACAAAAACTCTTATTTGATATCTGCCTACCCCATTCTCAAGAACTAGATGAATTGGTCATCTGATTTTTTTCTCCTTGTAAGTAAAAATTTAAAAAAAGAAGAAGACAATTAGGAAGTGATAGATTAATTTCTGGACCTGTTTTGATTTAGGCATTCTTCCAGCATGATTTTGGCCTTTTAAAAAAAATCTATGGTTTTCTGAAATAATTCAAATAATCAAAGTCTGATATGAATGTTATTCATCTAAATAATCATGATATTTATTAGGCATAATTTCACCAAATGATCACTTTTTTTACATCTTTTCTTCACTCTATTTAGAAACAAAATTTATTCTTTGCAGTGTCAGGGATGGAAGTAAAAGCCTCACACATTCAGGGGAAATATTCTACCCCTGGGTTGTTTTCTACAACCTGCTCTACAAAAAAAAAAAAAAAGAAAAAGAAAAAAAATTTTTTTTTTTTTAGTTAGGTCCACAGAGTTTTTTGCTGAAAATTCCAGGCCTTCTCCAGTTGGGGAGGGAAACCTCCTTGTACTTGCAGAAGTCCGGGCAGCCAACCCACTCCCATTGCCACCTGGAATGTTCATCTACCAGCCCTGTTCCAGAGACTCTGAATTAAATCTTGAGAGATCAACTGGCTGCAAAAATTTATCAGATAAAGTAGACTATAGACCAAACATGATTGCCTCTCAATGCAAACCACAACACCCAAAAGGAGAGAGAGAACAGAGGGGAATACCCTGCCACAGAGGCAGGAAGGAATGGGGGGATGGGGGGTGGGAGGGATACTGGGATCCGTGGTGGTGGGAAATGGGCACTGGTGGAGGGATGGGTATTTGATCATTGTATAATTGAAACCCAAGCACAAAAATTTGTAAGTTTACAACTGTACCTCATGGTGTCTCACTAATAAAAATTAAAAAATTAAAAAAAAATTATCAGATAACTGGTCCTGGCTGAGACGTCTGGGAAGGTGTCAAGAGTGGGTGTGGGCCAAGTTCCGCCCCCTGCCACAGCCCTGGTAGCCCCTCTCACACCCCAACAGCTGCCACCATACTTCCATCTCTGAAGGGCACAGCTGGAAATTAAAAAGGCAGTGTTCATTTTATCAAGGACTCATTCCTTGCCATTGTTCACAATAAAGCTTTTCTCCATTTGGCTTTTTAAGGCTTAATGTCACTGTTATCTGTTTCTAGTATATAAGAAGAGTCTTGGAGATGACATAAGTTCTGAGACGTCTGGTGATTTCCGGAAAGCTCTGTTAACATTGGCAGATGTAAGTTTCTGTTTCTTTACAAAAGTAAAAAAGTCCCAAATAACTCAATATTCACGAATAATGTTTAAGGAGATTAAAATTAATCAAATGATGTTTAAAATTTTCCTGATGGGATGGTTTCTTTTGCATTTGCGTGGCTGCTGAGTAGGCTAATGTTTAGTCATGATCAGAAAAGCGGAAAGAACACAAGGAAGGGCTTGAAGGCTGCCGCTTGTACAGAACTGAAGCTCTGTCCTGCATCTCCTGCCCTCCCTTCTCCACCAGGGGAGCCCCCAGTGCTGTTGGTGACCTACAGCAGTCTCAGTTGTTTAAGCCTATGGATTGAAAGTGTTCTGAGCAGGTTTCATAAAACATTAGAACATGTTTCCATAACTCATCTGCTATAAATGCATTCTATACTACTTAGTTATGTTATAGGTATATAATTATCGTAAGTATATTATATAAGTGTGTTATCTTAAAAGTGCATCTGTATTGTTAGTGTATTGTAGATGCATGGTGTAAGAGTTTCTGTGTGGACATAATTTAAATTTTTTTAATTTTCATTTTTGGGCTGGAGCAATAGCACAGCTGTAGGGCATTTGCTTCGCATGTGACTGGCCTGGCCGACCTAGGTTCAATTCCTCTGCTCCTCTCCGAGAGCCCAGAAAACTACTAAGAGTATCTTGCCTGCACGGCAAAGCCTGGCAAGCTAACTGATATACCAAACACAATAACAAGTCTCACGATGGAGTCCTTACTGGTCCCGCTCGAGCAAATCAATGAACAACAGAAGGACAGTGCTACAGTGCTAATTTTCATTTTTGTTTATATTGGGCTGGAGCGATAGCACAGCGGGTAGGGCGTTCGCCTTACAAGCGGCCAACATGGCCGACCCGAGTTCGATTCCTCTGCCCCTCTTGGAGAGCCCGGCAAGCTACTGAGAGTATTCGATATGCCAGACACAGTAACAACAAAGTCTCCAATGGAGACGTTACTGGGCCCGCTCGAGCAAATCGGCGATCAACGGGAGGGCCTTTAGGGCCTTTGGGAGATTATGTCTAGTGGTGCTTAGGACTTACTCCTGGCTTTGTGCTCAGTGATTACTCCTGATGGGTCTTGGTAGACCGTGTGTGGTGCCAGGGATCAAACCAAGCAAGTCAAAGATTCTCCGACCTGGACATAAGTTCTAAATGGTCTTTTTTTTTTTTTTAACTCATTTGGGTAAATATCAAGGAGCACAGTTACTGGATTGTGTGATAAACATCTGTTTCATTTTGTGCAAAACTGCTGTGCTCTTCTCCAGAGTAACTGCACCGTCTGGGACGGTCTGTCTGCTCCACATCTTCACTGCCCACACATGCTTCCAAGTGGTCATTGTTCAGGATTTTCCCCCTTATAACTGGAGTGTAGTGGAATCTTGCTATTTATTTTCAATGTACTGCTATTTATCCAGCCACTGATCAAACTGACGGAAGCAGGCATGAACTCCACATTGCTTTTTTTTTTTAATTGAATATCCATGAGATAGACCATTACAACGCTGCTCATGATTGGGTTTCAGTCATACAATGATCCCTCCATCAGTGTATGTTTCCCACCATCAACGTCCCCTATTTCCGTCCCAAATCTTGCTATTTTTTAAAGTTTTAATTCCTTAATGACACCCCATAGTGAATATCTTTCCATGTGCTTTCTTGCCATCTTTTATTCACTTTCCATGGAGTTGTTTTTTACCTCAGGATAGGTTTTTAAGAGGTTGTTTTTTCATCTTTTTCATCTTTTTTTTTTTCACCTGTTTTCATCTTATACAAGCCCTGTATCAGATGTTTGCAAGCCCAGCCTATGGCTCATCTTTTCATTCCGTTGGCCTTTTTGGAGGCCTTTCAGGCCTCTTGTAAGCAGGATCAGAGCATGATGTGATTTGTTACCTATTTCATGGTTGGTTAGTGGCGGAGCCGGAACTAGAGCTCCAAATACCAAGTGCCTGATTCCTTTGTGCTGCCACTGGACAAAAGCCTCTGAGACGCTCTGCAGGGTGAAGTGCCCGAGCTCCAATCTTTAAAAGCCTTGCCTTCTTTTCATCTTCCCCATTTAGAGTCGGAGAGATGAAAGTCTGAAAGTGGATGAACATCTGGCCAAAACAGATGCCCAGGCGAGTACCAGAGCAAAGCAAAATCTCCATTGACTCTTCTGCTTCCTTGATGGTCTGCATTAGTGTGACCCCCCAAATGCCACTGGACGCTCCTTCATTCTGTCGGAGAAGCCCCGAGGTTGGGAAAAACACCAGCTCAGCCTTCAGCCTTTCCTAAGTGGTGGCAATTCCCCGGTCCCGCCACTCCGCCACTCAGATTTCTAGTCTTCTTTAAGTGAGACACTTGCACAATTAATGATCTCTCTGACCCCTAAGAGAAAGAGACTTGGGTATCAGAAATAACACTGAACTCTTCCTCCCCTGCCAATAGATTCTCTATGATGCGGGTGAGAACAAGTGGGGTACGGATGAAGACAAATTCACTGAGATCCTGTGTTTCAGGAGCTTTCCTCAACTGAAGCGAAGTAAGGGCTTACATGACAATCTTGGCATTGTGTTGGCAGTGTGGTATTTTTGCTAATGTGGGGGGGGGTTGATATAGAACATTCTGGAAAAATAAAAGTATAAGACCAGAGAGATAAGACAGAGGTAGAGGCACTTGCCTTGCGTGTGTCCAATACCAGTTTTATCCTCAGCACCATGTGGCCCTCAGGCACCACAGGGCCTGGCCTTGGTGGCCCCTGAGCACCTCCAGAAGCGAAGTGGCTTTGAGTGCTGCTCGCGGAGACCCCAACAATTTTATTTAACATTGTAAGGCTGTTTGGGGGAGGGTATCCAAGAACTTCAGGAACAACCTGGAAAGCTGGGTTCCAACTCAAGACAGAAGTGACACTGCTCTGAGAGACAGGTGAGGGGCGAAGGGTGTCAGGGCAAGGAGGGGAGCAGCCGGAGAATGAGAGCTGAGAGGGTCGTCCACTGTGCTCCTGGGCTGCCAAGGAGGTTGAGGCGTTGCTGCCAGCCCATCTCTCCCCTGGCTAGAACATTCCAGAAAAGTAGGCATCATGGAGAGTCTGTTGATCATCACCCCAGATAACCATTCCATCCTTTCTGATAGCGATCTGTTAAGGGAGACGGCGATAGATCAGACCAACTGTTAACACTCAACATAAAGCTGCAGCATCCGGAAGCCAAAAAAATCCACTCTCTGTGGCTTCCCGGTCTGGTCTGTGCGGTGGTTTTCAAGCCCCTGTCTATGGATGAGGGAAGTCTGCAGGTATACAAAGCTAGCATCATTGTCCTCCCGTGGAGTTTGAGGTTCATGCTCCAGTGGGGGCTAATCCCCAGGTGTCCAAGATTGAAAACTGCTCTAGAGCCAGCCACCCTCCTGATGAGGTTTATGTTGTGTCCATGGGAAAATGAGGAAAGAGATCCCTCTGTGACATTTTTTTGTTTCCCACTCTTTATTCCGATAATCATAACAAGAGTTTCAGGCATTCAGGACTTTAGCACCATGGTATCAGCTTCCCTTCACCATAGTCTTAAGGTCTCGGCCCGCTTTTCACTCAGCTACTTGGCTCCTCCTGGCTCAGTGCTGATGGTGCTCAGGGACTTGAATGGTGCTGGGGGGTTGACCAAGGGTCTTTTTTTCCCCACTGGCGCCCACTTAGTAAATCGAGGAACAATGGGATGACAGTGATACAGTGATACAGTGATTGCTTTTTGGGTCATACCCAGCCATGCTCAGGGGTTACTCCTGGGTCTGCACTCAGGAACTACTCCTGGCGGTGCTTGGGGGACCATATGGGTTGCTGGGAATCGAACTTGGGTCGGCGTGTGCAAGGCAAATGCCCTACCCACTGTACTATTGCTCCAGCCCTGAACCTAGGGTTTTGTGGTAAAGGCACATGGTCAGCCCTTTGAGCCATCTCTCTGACCCAATAGCGGCTATTAAGTTGCCCTTCCACAGTTTGGCATCATAATTTTATTTTGTAAGCTAATGGTAATAGCGTATTACAGTTGCTTTACTAGTGTTGTAATTGGAAAAGTAAAAACAAATTATTCTTTATTCAAAATATACTCATAAAAACTGTACTTGGCTTTAAAAAAATACACCCACATATTTGGTGACATACGCGCAGGTTTTGCTTTGGGGCAAATACTGATCAAGAAATTCAGATGCCTTCTGGTAAGCGTGAAGTAGGCCATGCTGCCTTAGGGAACGATTTGCTCAACACAAACAAATCTCTATAATTAAGAATCTTCAGGAGATAAAACATATTTGACATTACCACACAGTACTGCTGCCACAACTTAAAAGTAGCCCATCCAAAAAAAAAAAGTAGCCCATTTTACTAGATAAATTAACATTTAAATTTTCAGATATTTAAAAATATTAACATGTTGTGGGGAAAGAAAGAGAAATCATTGAAGGAAAATGAATTCTGAAGTTCAGGGTTTCTTGTACATGATTCTCTTTAAATGGAATAAAAAATAGAAATTATTGTGTTCAAATTTTGATGATGAAAAGGAGATTTTGAGCTTACCACTAAAAGACCTAATTTGCTTTGTATTAAAAAAAAAAATCAAGGCTGTCCAAGTGCAGCCAGCTGGGACTAAATGTTTTCTTGGTGTTGCTTTTTTAGCATTTGATGAATACAGAAACATTAGCCAGAAGGATATTGAGGACAGCATCCGAGGAGAATTATCTGGGCATTTTGAAGACTTGTTGCTGGCCATAGGTAAGCCCCTGAGTGCTTGAGGCATTTTTCACTTAAAACCAATGTCAAGGTCACCTCCTTTCATCAAAGAATTCTGACTGGTCCATCTTTGTGTTCCTCAGCCAACACTCCACTGGGCAGCCTAAACAATTATTCAACAAACACCTCACATGGGTACCAGAAGAATTATCTTTGAAAACCTAACTTTGCTTTTACTACTTTGTGTCTGGCCTGTCAGCTTGGCTTAGAGACTTCTTGTGAGAAAAGAATATTACATTTCTTCTGGCATTTTTCTGGAGCCTTGTGAAAACTGACTCCTGAACCAATCTCACCGTGTTTGGCTGTTCGGGGACCACAGCCCTGATTTCCCAAAGCCGAGCCCAGGATGGGATTCCAGGTCTCCTCCCCTTTGGCCAAGATAGCAGGGAGTATGTCAAAAACAAAGTCACAAGCTAAATCCCCTCTGAGAGGGAGATGTAGGATTAGCAAATCCACAAAAACAAGTGTTACATAAGCTGCTGAGTCTTCTCTGTGCATCTCAGTAGTCTGTCCTTGCTGGGAAGCTCACCCAGAGAAGAGAACTGCTACACGCATCTGGCATCTCACTCAGTTCCCAAAGCCCCTCCTCAACCTTAGCAGTTCCTTAGTTGAGGAAGAGCTGATTCTAGGCAGAGCCTCCTAGATGGGCCTCAGAGTCAGCCTTCAGATGTTGCTTAGCACCACTGTCAAGGGGGGCTCCCAAGTTGGACATTTCAGGTTGTGTTTCCAAATGAACATTGATCTGGCACTTACTCTTTCTTGTGCCTCCACTTTAGGAAACTAGTTTCAAATAACCAGTGCCTCCTAACAAGCCCATGAATTAGACTCTGTTATCATCCCCTCGAGAGAGAAGGGAGAGCTGAGACACCAAAACATTCCCCAGGGAACACCGATGGAGTTGGGGAACTGATACATGACTGTGATGTTGTCAACCTCTCTGACGAGCTGCAGTGTAGAAATAAACTGAAAAACACATACATCCCGTGTATGCTGCATTTTAAAGTACATCACAGAGGATATCCATGGGATCTCACATTTACTATCTAGACGCCATTCTTTGGGTTTCCTACACTTAACATTATTTTCCATAACTCTGTCTTCTGTGCCAAGAATAGGGTTCTTCCATCAAATGTTGTTTGACTGTGATCGAATTGCTGAAACTTGGGCGAAAATGAAAGCTTTCTCCGTGAAAGGAAACGGGCGAGAAATCAGTCCCCCATGAGATCTGAGAATGTGTCAAGGACACTGATAGACCCACTGATTTTTCTCCACTTTTTATGGCTCACCCTTTTATCAATGCTGCTGCTTTTCACTTTGCTGTAATATTTGCAAATTATTATTGAGATATATGAACTTTTATTCACTAAGCTAAGCATTTTTGGAAATATACATTGAATTATGCACTAACTTGGACTATAAAATGCATTATTTTATCAAATAAAACACCTCATAATTCAACTAATTTAAAGTTTAAAATAAGCTATGTTTTCATTTTTCTATTTCAGGCAACTTTTGGAATATAATGGGTTGTTTAAAGCATCTTCAATGAGCTATAATACATATACCACGAAATTCACCCAAAGTATGAAATTCAGGGCCTGTTCACAGTGTTGTGAAGCCATGTACACAATCTAAGTTTAAGATATTTCTACCAGTCCGACAGCAATTCTAGCCACTAGTAATTCCCTCCTCACCCGGATAACCACTCATTTACTTTCTCTATTTATAAATTTGCCTATTCTGGGTATCTCATATACCAGGAATGTAATACAATATTTCAACATGTGTTTTTTATATGAAAAACCCATATGAGCTGTATTATCATAGAAAGTCATAATAGGAACATTACTAGCCATCAACTAATCTGTATTTAGAAAAGAAAAGGCTTTATTTTAAAAGGCTATTATAATCGGGTGAATACTGTGATCTAAAAAATGTGCAGGAGTCTCAAAATCAAAAGGAAAAGACTTTCATTTTCTAGAGTGGAGTAAGCAGACATTTTAAAGAGGAAGTTGGACTAACAAGAGCATGTGAATATTGGGGTTTAACAGTAAATGTATCCCCACTCCACCCCCAAGTTAACTGAGTCTCAGGATAAGCTGGTCTGGGGATGTATTCTGCATTTTAGTGCTGTTTAGGCTGAGAGACAAGAGGATTCAGGAGCCAGTGGGAAGGAGAGAACTGTAAATGTTTGTTCAGGCAATCCAGAGTGAGTGCATTGGGCAGCTTTGAACTCTTGGTAATAAACTTCCATGAACTCCATCCCCTTGGTAAGAAGGGAAACCTGAAGTACCAAGTAGTTCTTTTTTTCCCCGAGGTTCCCCAGAATTGGGGTTCTAACCCAGGTCTGTGCTGTTTGTCAACCCCTCTCTTGAGTTTCAATTCTTTTTCCTCCTTAGGCTGTTGGTTCTTTCTTTCGTAGTAGGGCTAAAACATACTGTTACCTCTTAAAATTTTTAGACACAAAAAATAAGCATCATGAAACAGTGTTATGAGACTATTGTGAGTTAAGGATAAGGATAAGATTGAAAAACTTAGTAGGAGGGCTGGAGCAATAGCACACAGGGCAGGAAGTTTGCCTTGCGTGCAGCTGACTGGGTTCAATTCCCAGCATCCCATATGGTCCCCCGAGCACCACAGGAGTAATTCCTGAGTGCATGAGCCAGGAATAACCCCTGTGCATTGCTGGGTATGACCCAAAAAAAAAAAAAAGAACAATGTTTGATCAAATAAGTAAAGATTGTTTAATATGAGTTTGAGGGAAATATAGGCAGTACCAATTTAAACGGTTGATTTCTTCTCAGCCAACTTCATAACTAATACTGCTTTCATGTTTGCCCCAGATTATATGTTTGAATTTCAAGTATTTTTCTCCTATTTCTCTTAAACCACTTATATAAACCAGAAGCCTTAAAACCTTAAAATAGAGTCTGTTGACTAGGATGAGAAAGCTAGTAATCTTATGCTGATCTCTAAATACATTATAAAATTCATTCATCACTTGTAAATCAGATCTAAGATTGTACGAGTAATTATATTGCAACAAATTGGTTCCTCCTCCAGTTTTGCTTTATTTAATGGCTAATTGGGGTCTGGAAGATGGTTTAGTGGCTTAACGCATTTGAAACCCCGAGCTTAATGCCTGGTGCTAGGCCACTCCTGACTGCCCTAGAGTCTGTGATGCCCAGGGAGAGGGTAAATAAGAACAGATAATCTGCTGACTCAGATTTTTGCCGATTACCCATTTCTTGCTTTATTTATGCTTTATTATATAAAAGTAATCTAAATATTACAGTACTTTTTTGATGACTGGATATAGATGATAGGAAATGGTTCTAATCTAAATTATCCTCACTCATTTTCATATACATATAAACATATATAAATCTCAGAGAACAAGTTTCCAGTGGCAAAAATGGCTTTCAGTTGAACTCAAGTGCCCTTATTTACCTAATGAGTTCTTTGGAGCAATGTCACTGCCGTTTTGAGACCACGTTACTCATCAATAGTCAGAGATGTTCAGAAAGGAACCACAATACACCCTAGAGAGTTTTCCATGTAAGTGTGGGTGTTGGTGTGTCTGGGAGATGGAGATGAGTCAGCTGCTGTGGGAGTTTCTTTGGCAGGTATTTCATTTTCCCCATGGCTATAGATAATTACTGAAGTTCCATGCAAATATTCCATTATAGGACTTTGAAATTCAGGTTATGCATTTATTCTTTTATTCTTTTTTTTTATTAGTGAAACACTATGAGGTACAGTTGTAGACTTACAAACTTTTGTGCTTGGGTTTCAGTTATACAATGATCGAGTACCCATCCCTCCATCCACCAGTGCCCATTCTCCACCACCGATGATCCTAGTAGCCCTCCCACCCCCACACCCCATCCCTCCACCCCACCCTGCCTCTGTGGCAGGGCATTCCCTTTTGCTCACTCTTTCCTTCAGGGTCTTGTAGTTTGCAATAGAGGTATTGAATGGCCATCGTGTTCGGTCCATAGTCTACTTTCAGCATGCATCTTGCATCCCGAGCTAGTCCTCCAAACATCCTTTACTTGACGTTCCCTTCTCTATCTGAGCTGCCTTTCCCCCCAGCATGTGCTGCTGGCTTCCAGGCCCTGCAGCAGACCTCCTGGTGTTCTTTTATTCTTTCTAAATAAAGCCAATAGGGAGGATGGCTGGAGCTGACTGAGCGGGGTTCGATTCCTCCACCCCAGCAAGCTACTGAGAGTATTTCGCCCACGTGGCAAAGCCTGGCAAGCTACCCATGACGTATTCGATATGCCAAACACAGTCACAACAAGTCTCATAATGGAGATGTTACTGGTGCCTGCTCGAGCAAATCGATGAACAACGGGAGGACAGTGCAGTGCAGTGCAGTGCAGTGTAGTGCAGTGAGGATGGGAGTGAGGGGTGGGGCTACCCAGGCAATCTTCTTGCGGGGGTGGGGGGGAAAGCCTCGAAAAGATATAACTGTGGATTACCTTAATGCCTGGTGAATAAGCTGAATTGTCTTTGCTTTTCCCAACAGTTCATTGCGCGAGGAACACGCCTGCCTTTTTAGCGGAAAAACTACATGGAGCTCTGAAGGTGGGTCTGGAAATTTCACATGCATTCTTAGCTCCCTCACAGAGAATGTGAAATATCTCTTAGTGTTGATGAAATTTCATGTTTCCTCTTCTCTCAGATGGGTTTTCAAATTGCAGTGCATTTGTCTACTGATTTGTCTCTCCGGTTGTTAATGAGAATTCTGATTATTATAGATCTAAGTGCACAAAAGGGGCAGACCAGATCAGCCTCTTCTTCACTGTTAACTTGTTTTTTAAAAGCCAACCCTCAAACTTGAGCCACTTAGTGCTGCATTACTTAAAATAAACCAAGCCGACTCAGCAGCCTCCCAGGATATTGGAGCCTGCATTTTCCTGTGTTGTCACTGTGAGTGTGAGTTCCAGCACTGCTCTCTTTCTTCATCTTTCATATCCACAGAGCCTTGCAGGGGGCTTTGGTGCATTGACGTTTCTTTTCCTTCCTTCCTTCCTTCCTTCCTTCCTTCCTTCCTTCCTCCCTCCCTCCCTCCCTCCCTCCCTCCCTTCCTTCCTTCTTTCTTTCTTTCTTTTTACTGTTTTATTTCTGACAGAGCTCAGGGGCCATATGGAATACCAGGGATCAAACTCAGGTCTATCATGTGCAAGGCAAGAAAGAGCTCTACCCACTGTACTATCCCTCAGGCCCCTACTTTGTTTTCTTTACTGGACTTCTCCAATCTCGGTCCACATGACCCTTCTGAGTTAACCTAAGTGAACACATCATTTCTCCGTGGCAACCCCATACCCCAAATCTGTGCCCTCTTCTGGGGTCCAACAGGAACAGGGGGTTCTCCAGCCTCCTGCAAGGGCATCATTTCCCCCACCCTTGCTTTTTATGCTTCGGCTCCCCTTTCTCTCTGTTCCTTGGCATGTTGCAGTTATTTCCTTTATTGTTCCCTCGGCTCAGAATGTCCCACCTCAACAGTTGCCTCTGGCTGGCTCCTTGTCTCAGTTCACAAGCATCATGAACTCTGAGGCTTTTCGAGAGAGGGACCTTGCGCTGACCACGCCGCTTATTGGCTGGGTGTCACTTACACTTCATTCCACATCACAGTTCTTACTGCTAATTAATGTCAACTTTCACAATCCAGTCATTTTTCTGTACTGTATGCATCTAGTACAATGGTAACTGCATGAGGGTGGAGGGTCTGTGTCATTAACTGCCCCTTTGCAAGATACAGGGAACCGTACGTGGCATATAGGAGACATTTATCAAGCACTTATTGAATGAACAGATATTGTCAACAGTCAGCTAACTGCTCAGTAACAATTTTATACTCCCTCGCACTTTATTCAATTTTATCCCCCCCCACCTTTATTCGCCTCAGATGACCACCATTCAGCTCTATCAGTGTCTCTGTGAGTGTCTCACACAGCAGCCCATTTTGTCCATCCCTGTTGTCATCTTCTTTTTCAGGTCTCTGCCATCTCTCTCTCTTTTTTATTGCAGTTGCCTCTATAGCTGCACCCCAAAGCTTCTGGTCTTAGTCTATGGTCATCGCCCAACTTCCTCCCACCCTCAGACTACTGTCACAGAAATCTTTTAAAACTCCATACGGAATCTGGCCTCAAGTCTCTTGTGTTAAAAAGGTGTCAATAGTTCTCCCCTCTTCTGGCTGGAACCATAGTACAATGGGATGTCGGAGCTGATTGGATCCCCGGCACCACATATGGTCCCCTAAGCCCCACCAGGAGTGATTCCCTGAGCTCAAAGTCAGGAGTAAGCCCTGAGCACCACTGGGTGAGTGCACCCCCCCATCTGCAAAATAAATAAATACATAGTTTTCCCAATTTGGCATAAAAATAAAACCAGAATTTTATTCCCTACTTTCAAGTTCAGTCCTCCCCTAACACTGTTAAGATCCAGTGTCCTAAAGACCACAGAGAGCACTGAGCTTTTCAGTATGAAGTTTTATTCGGCACAGTCAAGCAGGCGTTGAGTTCAGGAAGCTGAGAAAGCTGACGGGTTAGGGCCGTCCCCTCTAGTAGGAGAGCGACCCCTTCCTTGGTTCTCGAGTCCTTATTATCCCTGATTTCTGCAAGTTGCCCAATTCTTGCTGATCTAGCTAAGTTCCTGGTGACCTTTGACTTGATTGGCCATCCCCAGCTGGTTTGTGATGGGCAAGTGCTGTGTCAGATTCCTATTGGTTGTCATCATCTAGGGGTTCAGTCTCATCTCTCTTTGAAGACTACCTGATGGCCGGTTTCCATATCTTGCTGTGCGTCAGGGTTTCTAGCTAGCTCTGCAGTCCAGAGATATGCCTCAAGGCCATGGTCATGGCTGTACAAATTTTCCACTAAACAAGCTTTGGGTACAGGATGACTGCTATTTAGAAATGGTGGTGCTTGTGCCATGCTGAATAATACCTAACTTATCTGGCAGTATGGGAGAGCCAGGAGTAGCCAGGAATCTCTGGCTATTCCTCCTGATAATATGTACATCCTTGCGTATGATATTGTTTGTTTCCCTAAAACTTTACACAGGGCTTTCTACTATTAGAAAATTCTTTCCACTAAATTCTTCTATATGAATTCCACATTTTTTGAGGCTGATTGTTTAGACCTCAATATTATTTTCGCAGACATAACTCAATTTGTTTTTGGTGGGGGGCACACGCAGTAGTGCTTCTAGCACAGTGGGGAAAGGTTACCTTTCCTTGTGGTGCTCATGCAGTACTGAGAATCAAACCCAGGGATCCCGTATGTGAAGCATGCACGCAGCCCTCCAAGCCATCTCTCCAGTCCAGATAGAAGGCTCTTCAAATCTATTTTATAACCTAATATATTGTAATGGTTTGTTTTCTTACTTAGGTCTTCACAAAATTAGAACCTTATTGAAGGTGCCTCATCTTTGTTCTCAGCATTTGGTGTGTGGCTCAATAAACAGTTCTTGAGTGAATGAATGAATGAATGAATGATAAAGTTTGATGGCAAGTGAGTGAAGAATCACTTGGTTGAATATTTTGTGCACTCCTCTCAGTTTGTTCCCCGCTACCTGAAAACCTAGACCTATAGATTACTTTGTGACCAGTGGGATTTGAATTGTGAACACCTTCATTTTTGTCACAGGGTGCTGGAACCGATGAATTTACTCTGAACCGAATAATGGTTTCCAGATCAGAAATTGACCTCTTGGACATTCGAGCAGAGTTCAAGAAAAATTATGGCTATTCCCTGTATTCAGCAATTGAAGTAAGTCTCCTAAAAAGAGCGAAGTTCTCTTGTCTTTCACTAACCTGTCTCCTTTCCTTATCATCCTAAATGAAAGTTATGTGACCTAGGTTTCTCTCTTCTTCTGAATGTGTTAATGTGTTTTCTAAGTTTAAAATAGCAATGATAAACTGCCCCTTAAAGCTAGCCACTTATTTTTCAGCTCTAAAATAACAGGCAAAAAATAGACACTTAATGTATTTTTTAGGGTTAGTGTCCACATGTTTTTCTTCTTTCGTGAGTTGCATATGCAACTTGTTTTCCTATGTTTATATGGCAATATTTTTTTTTCTTTCAGTGTTCATAGCAATGGAAGGAAAGAAAAATATGTATTTTTAAATTTCCTCTTTGTCTTACTCAAAAGATGCATAAAACAACCCAAAAGGAGAGAGAGAACAAAAGGGAGTGCCCTGCCACAGAGGCAGGGTGGGATGGAGGGGTGGGGGGCTGGGATGGATACTGGGATCCGTGGTGGTGGGAAATGGGCACTGGTGGAGGGATGGGTATTTGATCATTGTATAACTGAAACCCAAGCACAAAAATTTGTAAGTCTACAACTGTACCTCATGGTGTTTCACTAATAAAGCTTTTTTTAAAAAAGTGAAAAAAAACAAGACTCACCAGAATTCTACATATCAATTTGCTCTTAATTGGTGAAAGAGAAAGAGAGAGAGATGGCTAATTTAATAAATGAATATTAGGAGATTTCTGGGTTGGCAAATAAAATTCATTAATGCCTTATGGAGCAATAAAAAAAGATGCATAAAACAAGCATGGTTTTGCAGTTTAGGGTTCTTTTTTGTTTTGGTCTATTGTAAGCTTTCTGATCCTTTTAAATTATTTTATAGCCTTCCATTGTTTGTAGTCTTGTGCTCACCACATGAACACAATTCTAACTTATTGTGTTACAAAGCTGTAATATGCATATTAGTTTTATCAGATATACAGGTACCTGTAGGATTCTCAGAAATAGGTAGGATTGGGGGCCAGAGAAATAGTTTAGTGGATAGGGCACTTCAGTTGCAGGTCACAACAGGTCTGAGTTCAATCCCTCATGCCCAATATAGTGTCCCAAGTTCCCCACCCCACCAGAAGCAACCCCTAAACACAGAGCCAGGAGTGACCACTGAGGGATGTTGGATGTAACCCCAAAGCCCAAAACCAACCAAACAAAAATCGGTAGGATTATTCAGATGTAAATATGTTGTGTAATTTTCATAAATGCTACCAACTGGCCTTCATTTGTACTTCATCAGGAATAAATGAATCCTTGTTCTCCATTGCCTTGGTATAAAGGGTAATTTTAAGCTTTGGGTATTTTACAAATTGCTGTGTGAGACATAATAGCTCAGTATGACTTCAGTGTATTTCCTAGTAAATGTGAGACTGAGCAGAGTTTAATGTTTTAAAAGACACTTGTATTTTTTTCTGTATTGTATGTTTTTTATGTTTTTCTTAACTTCCTATTTGGATTTGGGTCAATTTGGGGGATCAGGATCAAAGACCTCTTTGCATATAAGGTAGAATCACTTGTCAATTTGCTAATATTTTTTTCTAGTTTGCTGTTAGTTCTTTGTCATGGCTGATGTTGTTGTTGCTGTTTCGCATCAAATTTAATGTACCAATTTTGCTTTTATAATTGTGGAGGCGGGGCGTACACCCAGCAGTGCTCAGGGTTTACTCCTGCCTCTGCAGTCAGGATTCACTTCCGGCAGGGTTCAGGGGCCCATATGAGGTACCGGAGATCAAGCCTCACATTTCTTCTTAGTTTTTTTAAAAATATAGGAATAATCCCCAGGAATGCTTGGGGGGATACAGACACCATGGGGGAATGATCTCAAGGCTGGGTGCATGCCAGGCATGTGCTATGCCACTTAAGTTATCTCCACACTTTCTGTTTTGAACAATAAAACTGATTTTTATTACTCTCAGATCTTATATGCTATTATATATAAGAAACCCCAAATAAATGACAAATTTGTCTCATGAAAAAGGAAGTGACAGCAACTCTAATTTGTGCTCCTGGTACAGAGCACACAGTTCCAAGACCAGCTTCATGTCCATGTTGCTGCTTTGCAATTCCAAGGCCCCAGGTTTGATCCCTGGGCTTCACTCTACTGCTCTCCCAGCAAAATGTCATCCACCCAGCTGTTTGGGATCCAGCACCCTCACAAGTGTAATCCAGGTGCACCACAACTAAAGTATGCAAACACTAAGGCCAGGTGTTCAACCCTCAGCAAACCTGGTAACACAGAGAGATGACTAAGGACCACGGCTAGAGAAAAGGACTCCTCAGAAACACACAGCCACCTACAAGAGTATGTATATGTGGTTTTTCAACAACATTCCTGCTTCACAGTGGAAAGAAAAATTTTGGAAAGGGAACACATTTTTAAGAAGTCACCCCCCAAAAGACTATAGCAACTGGGAAAAGGGTTGTACTAAGGGGTTGCCCACACCTGTTGAAGTTGGCTTTGCACCCCAGCTCACATCAGAAAGTCACTGGAAAGCGAGAGATAGTCTTAGTCCCAGTAGTGCCTAAGGTTGTTCAACAAATAGTTAAACCTCTGACTGGGTTCAAAACTGGGTCCAGGGCTGACTTTGAATACATGTGCAGGCAGTACCCCAAGTTCTTTCCATGCCTTGGTGGCCCCATCGACCTTCAACGGAAGTATCCTGAGGAAATTGGCATTGAAGAGTGTTTTTGACCAGAGGTGGAGTTAAATGGATCTAAAGCAAAGTTGAAGACCCAAGTTGGGAGCGAGGTCCCCAATGACAATCTTGGGTGGGAAGGAGAACGCCTTTGCTCCCAGTGCACCGAGGACAGTGGGGGTCTCCCTGCTGAGCTGTGTGATCACTTATTCACTGCAAATTCCAGTCGTAGACAGTGATCTTCTGCAAGTCCCTAAAAGGCTGGACCCCGCTGGTGTGGGGGAGGTGACACCACTGGACATGAGGATACCACAGCATAGACCATGACTTTTGTGTCTCCTTGAATACCCCATTGGCTCAGCCATTTCCTGATTCTGCCACCCAAATACAGGCTGGCCTGGGCTTCTACTGCTGTCTCAGGCTTCCAAGATGGTTTTGGAATGAATAACGAGTGGACCTCAGTCCATTGCATTCATTTACTAAAATCCTTATTAAACAAAACAAAACAAAACCCAAAGGCCAGAATGAAACTTCTATTACACTAAATCTTTGTGGAAAGAGATATTTAAGTTGAAATGAAGAATTTACTCAAAATGGCAACTTTCAGACTGTGCCTGAGGCTTAGCACAGATTTCATCTATTGCTCACAGTCAATTCAATTTGGATTGATCCTGACACATAACAATAGTTTCAATCAACAGAGGAAGATTCAATAAGGGTAACCGCATTGTACTTACTAAGGCTGAAAAGTAGACTCATACATTATAAAGATTGCCAGTAACAAGGTTGAGACACAAAGAGGGCTTTTGGTTCACCCTCAGCAAACCCGAAAATTAAATTATCCCTCAGCTCTCCCTCCCCCAGTGATCTGGGTAATTGAGACTTATTGTATTAGGAAACACTTAAACTTAGGTATATCTTGATAGAAAAGAGAAATCCATTCCTGAGGAGTTCACTTTGTGATTACAAATTGCTTAAGAAACCGCTGTCTTCATTTTTACCACCCAACTCTCATAATCCAGTAATCTCGTTGTGTTTTCGCCTCTGATGAACAGGCTCTTCCATATAGTTGACCTTCTGCAATTCAGGAACCAGAATTCCATGTTTTGTATCATTCCAGCCTTTGGTTCTCTCTTTCTCTTCCTTCTACATAGCATTGCTATCATTATCATGATCATTTATTAGCTTGGGGACCACACCTGGTGGTGAACAGAGTTTACCCTTGGATGACTCCTGGCAGGCTCAGGGGACCGTATGTGATACCAGGGATCAAACCAGAGTCACATACTAAGCAAGCTCCCTACCCACTATATTGTCTCATTGGCCTCTTCCTTCTCCCTATTATTTAGGCAGATCTCTGCTCCTTAACATCTTTCTCAGGTGATGAATGGTGGGGAGGAGGAGAAAAGAAAGAAAGAAAGAAAGAAAGAAAGAAAGAAAGAAAGAAAGAAAGATGAAAACAAATGCACACCTCTTATTGATAGTACAACATCCATTAAAAAATTGTTTCGAATTATATTTTTGGTTGATTTCTGTGATTGACATAAGAACTATTTAAAAAAAAAAAAAGAAGAGACAACAAGTCCAAAATGAAGTTGTTCGTGTCAAGCTCCTATCTAATTATAGTTTCAATCTCCTCAAAGTGGAAATTTAAATTAATTCTTGAAGTTACTCATCAGCTCTAGTGGAGTGATGTGCATAATAAGACCCCCTTGCCTTTCTCTTGAAATAATTCTTTCCTTTCCCAGTAACATTGTCCTACCCTCTTTCAGACTAAAAACAATTCCAATCTGTGCAACTTCTGGTAGCGCCTTTCTACTTCCTAGATGGGTTACTGCCTGACTCATGAATCATTTGAAAAGCCAGTTAGAGATTGAAAACAAACTCACTTGGATTCTTGTTATTTGATAGTATACCTATGTAATTAATAATAACAGTCATGAGCTCTTTGTGGCAAAACACAGTAGCCTCCTCAATTCATCATCTCTGTAGAGATTTGAGTTGATTACAGATAAAAAAATTTTTTTGAAGACAATAATATAAAATAACATGCAATTAAAGCCAAGATTGCAGGGTTCAGGTGGTATAGAGAGAGAAAATGAGAGTAAAAAGAAGTTGGGGTTAGATAGAGAACATTTCTGAGAGAACTGGGTCTAGAGTCTGCCTTTGAGGTTAAGCATCACGCGTTGAGTAGCTTCTGTGGTTGCATGTCAAGGATCTCAGAGATGAATATGTTGGGAATATATGTGCCACCATATATATGAAGCTGGAAAAGATCACACTGAGTGAAGATAGTAGGAAAGATACAGTATGATCTCTCTAATATGTGATACATCAAGAGGCTTAGTACAGAAATACAGATGGCCAGCAGGACTGGAACTTGAGAACTGATTTGCCAAACTGAAGTTACCATAGAGGAGAGATGGGGGTGGGAGGTGGGGAGTTTGAGGAGGGGGATCCTGAGACAATGGTGGAGGTAAGCAGACACTGTGGTGGAGGGTGTGGTGTTGAAAGGTTATATGCACAAAACTCTATCATTAACAGTATTGTATACCACAGTGACAAAATTTCTTTTAAAAAAATGGTTGTTTTTTGTTTATTTTGGGGCCACACCTTACAATACTCAGGACTTTCTCCTGGCTCTGCACTCAAGAATCACTTTTGGGGACTGGAGCAATAGCACAGCGGGTAGGGCGTTTGCCTTGTACATGGCTGACCCGGGTTCCATTCCCAGAATCCCATATGGTCCCCTGAGCACCGCCAGGAGTAATTCCTGAGCGCAGAGCCAGGAATAACTCCTGAGCATCGCCGGGTATGACCCAAAAAGAAAATAAATAAATAAATAAATAAATAAAATTTATTTTAAAAAAATAAATAAGTATCACTTTTGGTGGGCATATGGGATGCCAAGGATCAAACCTGTGTTGGCCTCATGCAAGGCAAGCATCCTGCCGGCTATACACTCTCTCTGGCCTCAGAAAAAGAAATAATTGAAAGCAACTAGAGGGGCCAGAGCAATAGCACAGTGGATTGGGCATTTGTCTTGCATGCGGCCAGGAAAGGTTCAATCCCCCATATCCCATATGGTCCTCTAAACCCCCCCTAGGAGTGATCCATGAGCACAGAAATAGGAGTAGGACTTTAGTCCTGCCCGAAAACCAAAAATAGATATAAAGCAACTACGAAAGATACACTTAGTCTCAGTTGTCATCTCTGGTCAGAAAGTTCGCTGCATGAAATTATGGAAATAAAAAAAGATGGAATAAAATTTGAGAAAAGTGAGAAGCATTGATTTCTCCAGAGAGAAACAACTGTTAAGAAAAGGTATATGGTTTGTTTCTTGAGAACAATTAATATAACCTAATTAGGAAGACATAGTAAGAAGGTATTATGTTTAAGGGTTTTGCAAAGACATTAACTTTTTAAATAATAAAATATCCTACAGCCACAATACTATATTACTAAAAAGTGGAAGGATATAGAAGTGTGATCATTTTATGTTGACATAACACCAAAATGCACTATGTATTGTTCTGTACTAGGTAATTAGGATATATGTCCTCACTTGTCTGATGGAGTCCTAATAATTCTTTACCACTTTGATCAGAGATGGCTAGAGGGAGCTCTTTTAACACAAAGTTAGAGCACTTTCAGCTTTTCAGCTGTGCGTGAGAGAAGCAGAGACAGAGAAAAGAGAGAGGGAGACTGGTAGATATGGCAGAACACAAGTTAATGAAAACAATAGGGAAAGAGCTAAAATCTTCATGAAACATAAGAACGTACATCAGTGCCTGTTTGTCTTCTTTTGAAAGTAGTATTCAACCTTGTCGGCAAATCGCCTTTCTTCATTGCTTCCTTTGTATTACCATTAACTCTAGATACCCCAGATGTGATGCTTATATTCACAAGAAGTGCTCATTATTTCATTTGCCTGATAGAAGAATAATGTAAGATTTTAGGACCTCTCTGTCAAAAGTGAAAGGTTACTTGTATTGAACTATTTTGAATAGTAGCAAGTCATAACTTCAGATGGTTATCTGCTCAAACCAAGTAAATCGAGACTATTCGTAGAGGAAAGGAACTTATTATTTGAGGCTAGTACTCTTTGGGAATATGGTTCATTTCAGCCTCCTGAGTCAAGCAGTGCAGTGTAGTGTTAAGAAGTTGGGTTCCCAGGGTTTGAATTCTGTCACTTTTCTTCAAAAAATTTGGGTCAGATTTCTAATTTCTGTTTTTCTCATTTGACGTATTTGTTAAGTGAAAATAACTTATGATACCTATTACAGTTTTGTAAGAGTATAAAAGTTGTTGTAATCTACAACACCCAAAAGGAGAGAGAGAACAAAAGGGAATGCCCTGCCACAGAGGCAGGGTGGGATGGAGGATGGGTGTGGGAGGGATACTGGGATCAGTGGTGGTGGAAAATGGGCACTGGTGGAGGGATGGGTACTTGATCATTGTATAATCGAAACCTAAGCACAAAAATTTGTAAATCTACAACTGTACCTCATGGTGTTCCACTAATAAAAATAAAAATTTAAAAAAAGTTTTTTAAGGGTTAAAGCAGTGAATATGCATTGAACCCTTAAAATAGCAAATGTTGATAAATATTAGTCATAGTTATTAATTTTAACTATAATAGATGATATAATGTACTCGATGCAATATTAGATGACATGATGTGCTTGATGCAATGTTGTATTTTAACTAAGATTGACTTTTGACTACAACATATTGTGAAGATTTAAACATGTATTTACTTAAAGGAAGATGCTAGGGTGGAACACAATTTCATTCAGAGATGAACAGATGTTGAAATTACATGTATGCTTAACTAAATGGGAGAGGTCACAAGTTCCCACCCTGTGAATCTGCCAGTGTTGCGAAATCTGATTAATTTATGTTTCTGTCATTGCTTTTTGTCTCATGTGTCTTCTCTGTCCTATTCTTTGCAGTCAGATACTTCTGGAGACTACAAGGTCACACTCTTAAAGATCTGTGGAGGAGATGATTGAGTCGAGGACAGAACTCCAGAGCTCACCGCCATGAGCCTTTCTAAGTTCCACTTCCTTCTTTCTAACTGAACTGAAAAGCACAATCGAGCATACACAGCAACTTTCTTTCCTAACAGAAAATTTAACTGTCCCATTACAACAATAAAAAGTTATTCTTTGGGAGCATCTCATTTTAATATAGTAGTTTACAAATAAAATTTTTAAAAGGTAAAATATTGGTTGATGCTATCCAAAGTATATTTCTGCTTAGAAAGTAAAATTTTTATTTGTTTGATTTTGTAAGTGGTGCTTAGGGCTTCCTCCTGGCTCTGCATTCAGGGAACACGCCTGGTAGTACTCAGGGGACCATATGGGTGTCAGGATTGAACTTGGGTTGACTGCATGCAAGGCAAATGCCCTACCCGCTGTTACTATCTTTATCTCTGCAGCCCAGGAAGCAAACATGTTTATACTGTTTTTAAACATTCACTGCAGCTCAGTAAATTAACATGATATATATGTGTGTGTATATATACATATCATATATATGTATATAATATATATATGAGACCCTGACTTTAGTTCCCCCACTAAAACAACAAGAAAGCAAGCACAAATCCAATAAATGCAAATAATGAAAATTGTTGCCTTACTTAAAAGTAATTTATCTCTTTGTTTTTAACATCTACCAATACTATTTTGTACCTGGTACCAACGACTAATGGTAGCTTAAATTGCCTTTCTTACTGTAAAAGCTGTTGCTATTTTAGTTTATTCACTACCTTCTGAATCACATTCATCTTTAAGAAAGGAGAAAAAAATGAAGATATAAGCAATTCTGGCCCGCTTGTTTTTGCTGTGACCAAGACATAAGAGTGGCAATGCATAATAAGTTGCTGCAGCCTTCAAAAACATCTGCTGAACAATTAATCTAACCATTTCCTGTCTAAATGGCAAACATTAATTGTGGTCATTTCATGCTAAGTACTACTTTCCTAGAATGGCTATTTAGAATTAGTCTCTAAGATTTCCTCTTCCTCTGAAATAAGTTTCTAAAACTAAACATTAAAAAAAAACCCTCCTGTTATTTTAGAAGGAAACTAATGTGACATATCTTAAGTAATATTAAAAATAAGTGCTAAAAGTCTCTAGTTTGGGGGAAGAAGTTATTAGTCTGGACTAGAATAGAAATGATTAAACTGGAATAGTACAGTTTGTAATCAACACATCCCACTGGTTTCAAAATTATTTTTAAAAAGTAGTTTTTTCTTGTTGTAGGATTGCCAACATGACCGGATGCCCGTGGGGATGAAGTTCAGGGATGTAGAGATGGGCACAGCTGGTCTCACTTATTTATTTTTATTTTTATTTTTATATTTTTGCTTTTGGAGTCACACCCAGTGATGCACAGGGGTTACTCCTGGCTCTAACACTCAGAAATTACTCCTGGTGGTTCTCGGGGAACCATATGGGATGCTGGGAATTCAACCCGGGTTGGCCGCATGCAAGACAAATACCCGACCCGCTGTGCTATTACTTGAGCCCCTGGTCTCCCTTCTTGCCCTACCATCATTAAACTTGCTAGGTCTTTTTTTCTTTTTTAACAAAATGGGGATAATAATAGCAGCAATCTATCTCAGGAATTTTTTTAAATTTTTATTTATTTTTATCTCAGGAATTTTTAGTGATCAAGTCAGGTCATTCCCATGAAGCACTGAACCTTGTACCTGGACCTAATAAATGCTCGATCCAGGTTATTATTATTATTGTCAGACTACATCAAAATAATCATTCTTTAAGCTGTTTGCCTACCACATATCAAGACCTGTGCTAGATGAATATTGCATAATATATATGTATATATATGTCTAAAACTCATTTTCTTTAGCCAAAAAGCCTTTTTGTCTGTTTTTGGGTTATACCTAGTTGTGCTTAGGGCTTATACCTAGCCCAGTGCTCAGAGCGCTCTTCTGCTGGGACTCAGGGGACCATGTACATTGCTGGGGGATGAACTGGGGTCGTTATGTGCAAGACAAGTGCCTTAACACTTGTACTGTCTCTCTGCCCTCCACCGAAAGACTCAGAATCTGTTTAGGGAAAATATGTGAGCAAATAAACACAACATGGAATGTATCAGAGACACTCAGGGGAATGACCTTGGATAAACAGAAGACAGATGCCCGGAAGAAGGATCAAGAAGTCCACAGACAGTCACAGACTGCACCCGTAAAGACAAGGAGGAGAGGCTCTCCAGATTGGGAGGAACGCACACTTGCAGTCACAGAGCTATTAGCTGACACGGTGATAGGCAAAGCCAAGCTATGAAAGTCACCTTCGCTACACAATTCTTTTATTATCAATTACAAACCATCTCAGATACCAGCAGGATATTCTACAACTCAATTATAGACTTTTTTGTTTGTTGGGGGGCCATATCTGGCTTACTCCAGGCTCCTGTGCTCAGGGGTGGCTTCTGGAGTACTTGGGGGAAACCTGGAGTGCCCAGGATTGAACCGGGGTTGACTGTGTGTGCAAGGCAAATGCTTGATCCACTGTTCTATTGCTATGGCACTGCAATTTGGAACTTCCTGTCTGAAGACAGTGTCCACTCCCTCAAGTTAAGGGCTCAGAACCACAAGACTGCCTTCCCAGCCCTGCTTCAGAATCTTCTAGCAAGTTCAGATTGTTAGCTAGAAATCAGAGTTCCAAAGTCTCTTTGGGTTCTATTATTTTGCCAGAGCTTCTTATAAATATCACAGAGACTTTATTTATGGATTACCTCTTTATTCCTCTTTATCATTTATCTTTATTATGAAGAAAAGATTGTTCAGAATTATAGGTATGATACAAGGTATGTGAGAAAAAGTGCATTACTCTTCCCAAATTCCCATGTGCTCACCAACCCAGATATTCTCCAAACCCTGTCTTATGCTTTGTTAGACTTCATTCTATAGGCGTAATTATTTGATTAGATCCTAGTCATTGGCTATTTAACTCAGGATTCAGCCCCTCATGCCTCTCTCTTCCTAAGAAGTCCAGGGATGGGGTTGTATATTCCAACCTTCTACTTACAGAGTTAGCAAACAATTCCGTAAGTAGTTTTGCAAACTATAGCCCCAGTCACATAACAAGAAGTGCTTTTATTCCTCTGTATAGGAAGTTCTCAGGGACTCTTGTCAGGAACAAGGACAAATGTGTGTTTTAATTATAAATAACATGATCTGTCATTATGGAATAATTTAGAAGTAAGAGAGTCATGAAAGAAACATACTTACCAGGGCAGTTTTAGTTCTGGAAACAATATTGCAAATTTTGGGGCTTAGGGTTGCTTGAGTTTCCTTCCGTTGTGTTCAGGGATCACTCTGGGATGTACCAGGGGACCATAATGCAATGCCAAAAGTCAAACTAAGGTTGACTGCATCCAAAACAAATGTCTTAGCCCCTTCAACTCAATATTGTAACAATTTTATCAAATGGAAAGGATGGATAGAACAGAAAACTTTGCAGTTGCTGAGAAAGAAACCAATACATCAAACTGTGTGCAGTCTTGCAGTGAAGTTTAGAAATCTTCCCATGCACAAGGTACTTTCTCCAAGCTACCCATTACCATGAAGAGAAGTATTTTGGAAAAGTTTGTCAGGGTATTGGGACTTCTGGAGAAGGAACAAGTTCATAGGTATACAGGTTTCCCATAATTTACTATCAAACTGCACAACTAAAATAGTATTATGTTAATCTTGACCACATTCTCCAAATAGCAAGCTCTTGTTACACGAGAGTTCTTCTACATACTTTAGTCCCTTACTTCTTTGCATTTTTTGTCCTTTTTATCCCATTCACTATTTCCCTTTATATTGCCTTCAAACAATAAGCGCTTTGAAATTACACTCCCCCGTTGACACTAAAACTTTGACAACAACTTTCTAGCACCCACGCGCTTTCCCTGCCCATTCTTCCAGGCACCAGAGTCCCAACTCATGCATTCACATTCCTCCTGCTTTAATTTGATCATTTCATTTTCCTCTTTATTAACTGACTTGTGCTCTATAGACTCTCCGTAACTTCTGCTTTTGATTTCATGTTACTTTGCTAAGTGACATCTGTCCCATTGATTTTGTCATGTATCTTATTGCCTCATATCACATTCCAGTATATAAATTTTAATTTTTAGGAAGCAAAAAAAATATTCCCTGAAGGAAGTGTATTTGATTTTGATTGTTGAAGTTCGAGTCCTTACCCAGCCGTGATCAGGGCTGACACCTGGCTCTGTGCTCAGGGATAAGTCCTGCCAGTGCTGCCGGGACTCTCATGCAGTTCCAGGATCCAAAGGGATCAGCCAGTATGTAAGTCAAGTGCCTTAATTTCTGCACTATCTCTTTGACCTGAAAGCTTATCTTTATCTGGCTCCTTACCCCTTGTGTTTCTTTGATGTGGCACTTTTTTGAAGTTTCCTCCTAAGGCACAGAAGTCATGTTTATTTCCAATTACTAAGAGAGTAAGATGGGAGAACACAAAACTAGGAAAAGCCTGGATTTTTCTTTTTTTTTCTTGCAAACATATATATGTATTTAATATATATTCTTGTCACTGTCACTGTCTTCCTGTTGTTCATCGATTTGCTCAAGCAGGCACCAGTAATGTCTCCATTGTGAGACTTGTTGTTACTGTTTTTGGCATATCGAAAATGCGACAGGGAGTTTGCCAGCCTCTGCGGTGCGGGCGGATACTCTAGGTAGTTTACCAGGCTCTCCGAGAGGGTCAGAGGAATCGAACCTGGGTCAGCCATGTACATAGGGGATTTAAGAAGAAAGAATGGGACAAGGAGTGGGACCAGCTAGTTGTTCTGTGACTCAATTTCTCCCCTATATAGTTAGATTTTTCCAACCAAAATCGGGGGGGAGATTATTTCTGCAGATAATCTGAAATCTGGGTGATACCCCCCAATTTTTATTCTTCCACATGGATAAGGAAGTAGTGAAATCTTATTCTTGTAACTGTTGGGCTTTGATTGACCTTGTCTTGTAATATTCCACATGCCCAAGTGCCTTTACATGGTATCATTTGTTTTTGCCTCTTCTGAACAGATTGGGGAGATTTACCTTTTATATGTATGTTTATATGTACAGTGCTTACTCTGTATCAGGTACTGTGCTAGATATTTTAGAGCTCACATATTCTCAGAGGGTTTTTTTTTAATCTGTCCTAAGACATCATTTCTTTATTTTAAGTACTTTGTGGAACAAAGGATGGGCATCTGTGTCAATGTTCCCCCATTTTGCACACAAACAAAATGAGACTCAGAGGTTAACTGGCCAATGGTCACAGAGTAGGGAAGTAAAAGTTCAGGACCTCGTCAGCTGGCATCTGCTTGAGTATGGGGACAGGAAGAATGTGAAGGGAGTGATAATCACAAGAG